CCAGCAGGTGGCAGAGCAAGCTGTACTTTTACACATGACTGCTAGACATATACAAGAAGCTCCAGTAATTAGTTGGAGCCTGTATTTATTCAGTTCTGTTGAAGTGTGCGCATGGTGACAGCTTGAATGTTGTGACAGCTCCGTGTGGAGTAATGAAGTGCTGTTTTCTACACCCAAATGAGGTTGCAGTCTGAATGGTGTAACAAGAACAAAATTTCTTGTTCTTGTTTGACACTCATCTCCTTTCAGCTTGTTCTGTTGGCACATACTGTAGGTGCCAGATCAAAGGGCTTCTGAGCTCTCTACTGAAAATCCCATTGTAAAGAAATGACTCTTAAACTTTGCGGGATGCAAACATTTTACATGTTCGTTGTAATAATTCAGAAGAAATATGAAATAACGTGCCGCAGGCTTATTGGCGCTCATTCTACTGTGCACAGCCTTGTTCGTAAGGCTCATACAAACCCAGAAATCCTATCTCTTTAACCAGGTCTAGCTCTGATGACAAGGGAAAAGGGCATACTTGTTAAAATGCAGTCACTCTGAGTTCAAGTTTTTTCTCCACTTCTTTTACTGCCAAATTAGGGTAGACTGATAATGATGCTAGACTGATGTGAACTCTGGGGTGAATTCACAGACTGTACTGCCGTCGCTGATGTATGTCAATATGAATTGTGTTTCTTTGCCACATTTTCATCTGCTCCATTACGAGGACCTCATAAATAATGAGCTGGATAGGGGAATCTATTTACCCATGAACCCCAGCTTCAACAGATGTGATAAAGTTTCATGGCATAAAAGGCTTCCTCCTAAAAACAAGTCAGCAAGGGCAGCATGTCCAGTTCAAATCACCCGCTTATCTTCTCACCCTCTCAGCTAGCTATTTGCTGTGCAGCGCGGTAAGAGCTGCAGGAACTCTTTTATGTGCGCTCTGATTTAGCATCTGTAAAAGCCACACAATACTTTCTTCATGAGTCTCTTTTCAATACAGCTTTTTGTGCTGTCCCAAAGTATGAAGCTGTTAACTAATACAGGTTGAAGCTGGGGAAAAATATGACAATAAAGCATGGTTAAGATTAGGCAACTAAAACAAAAAGGGACCTCCTATCTTGAAGCTTATCTTGAACCCATTAGCCTTCAATGTCAATGAAGAGATGCTGGGTTTATACCAATTTGAGTAATATCAGTGAATAATTTAAATTTTGAAGTAAGACGGATAAAAGAATTTCAAATGGTTCTAAAAGGGACTTTCAGATAGGACGCGGCGGTCGCTGTGACGTGATGTCACCTCTGTCAGCCAATAGCAGGGAAGATCAGATCACAACAAACGTTTTTCCACTTTCCTGAGCTCTAGTTTACAGATCTACCAGGACATCAGAAATCTCTAGTTTGACAAGAAGTGCCCAACAGTTGGGACGTACCAGGTGTGTTTAAAACAGCAGCTGAAATATGTGACGTGCTTGTGAAGCGGTTATTATAGAGCTTGAGCTACTGGACGTAGTAAGCAGTAAATGAGCATTAATATATTTGATGCTAGCCAATGGGATTAAGGCTGGCTACACACTAGACAGTTTCAGTCCTGATTTTGGGCCTGAGTTTTTCTTTACTGTAATCCTGACTTATGAGGAAGCAACAGAAATGGTTATTAATAAATGGATTGCACTTATAGGGTGCTTTCCCAGTCGTCTGACCCCTCACTATAATGTGTGACTTTCACCACAACATCTGTCAGTAAACCGACTCCCCTCCTCCCTCACCCCGTCTGGTCCAACCATGTGCAGACTTTAGTAGTACTGCTCTCCTTTCTAATGCAGCCCAAAGATGATTAGGTTCTTATTTCTTTGAAGACCAAACTTCTGTTATTTCTCCTTCAATTGTACTCTTGCGACAAAACTCAGCAATTATGCCTCTACAACTCTGACACTCAAAATAATAAATCAAAATAACAAAAGATGACGTTGAGGCTGGCAGGGAATCACTGGACTTCTCTCTGCTTCTCCACCTCACCCCGTTGAAAACGGACTCTGCTTTGAAGATGGTAAAGGTAAAAAGGAACGAGTGAAACAGACCTGAGGAAAATGATATGTTTACCCACGGTGTATCCAAGTACACGTGATGTTTTTATCACAGCAACACATACAGCAGCTTATACATACAACGGCAGCTTTCAGTAGTAATTCACGCTTCCTTGTGTAGCAATCTTTGACTTAACATCCAGTGTTTCCACGGCAACGATAAACAAGTCGTGTCTGTCATGGTCATATGTCATGGCTGTTGCCACAACGAGAAACGTCCCATTTCAACTATTGGATTACAGATTTCTCTGGCTTTGATAACTGTTGGAAATATGTGAGGAAATGAAAGTACTCAACAACAAAAATATTTATGACAAAGGTTTAGTCCGTTTTGAATTATTTTAGATATGTGGATGTAAACATTATATAAAATTCTATATTGTACGAGCAGGAAACCTTCTCACTCTCATTCACTCTCATATTCAAGGCTGCTATGCAAAGTACCAGGCAGCCCATCAGTACGGATGTTAAAAGACTTATTTCTACATCAATGGCTTTTTTTTTTTATTTGGCTTTAGGAGCAATTTAGGGTTCAGGACCTTTCCCAAGAGCACAGGGACATGTGGACTGTGAGACCGAGGATCTAACTGCCAATATATACATTAGGCGATGATCGGCTTTAACTTTGATACACAGCTTCTCCAAATGAATACCATCCCCAACTAACTAAACAAAATCAAGAACTCAGACTGACAGGAATCAAGACCTTTCCTTTTCTCTACAGTTATGAGCATGGTTCACCAAAAGTAGTTTAATTTGAGCTTCCTCATTTTAGTCCCAAACAGTTGCTAAACTGTTTTGAAATGTTTACAGACTCAACTGTTATTGATGCTTAGAGGACGTTCTTCTAAGGAGAAACTGAACCAACACAGGGATTTGAACTCCACGCTTTGCCAACCGCTTTGATGCAAATAGAATAAATAAACTGAGGTAAAATGTAAGTGATATTGAAAACAAAAGTCAGGAGAGAAAGTGACGAGTGGTGAAAGAAGAAAAACAGGATAGACACTGCATTCATACATTGTTTTGTGTGTTTGTGTGTGTGTGTGTGTGTTTGTGTGTGTGTGTGTGATTGTGTGTGTGTGTGTGTGTGTGTGTCTGTGTCTGTGTCTGTGTCTGTGTGTCTGTGTGTGTGTGTGTGTGTGTGTGTGTGTGTGTGTGTGTGTGTGTGTGTGTGTGTTGTGTGTGTGTGTGTGTGTGTGTGTGTGTGTGTGTGTGTGCGCGTGCCTCGCTCACAGAACAGTTGATGGATTTGCTGCTTGACTGCTCACATAGATTGGTGCCTGCTGTGATGAAAGCCTTGAACTGAAATTACATGCGCTCTTTCTCTCTTCCCCTCTCTTCCCCTCTCTCGCTCTCTCACACACACAAACACACACACGCGCACACACACACACAGACAGAAGTACATTTAGCTACAATTTCAGTGTGTTCAAATACTTTAGTGTGTGTGTGTATTCTTAAAATGGGATGAGGGGGTATGCTGCCTCTCGGAGATCATTTAACAGAAGTGTAGAAGGATAGATGAACATGAGATTGGTCATGGTACCAAAGTGGACTACACAATAATCAGGTCAACACTGCACATGTCTGTTTGTCAGTAGTCATTTATTATATTCTGCGTTAGATTCTTGGTCGTTATTGAATCAATGACAGGTTGCCTCACTCCCTTTCTTCTTTTTAATTTTCTTCTATTGGGGGAAATTAAACAAAAAAGTAACCAACAAAAGATTAACGAAGGTTCATTCTATGATAGAAGTGTCTGTCTTACGTAAGATAGTGCTCATGGAGTCAGTTGCAGAAGACAGTCTTGTTTTCCCTCTCCATGTCTCTAAATGAAGTCCATGTATGAGATTAATGGGTTGTCTTCAAAAAAAAATTAAGATGTGTACAGTATATAATTTTCTGAGCAATTTTTCTCAATCTGCCAAGTTAAGGAATATGTGGCTGAGCATGGACAGACTTCACTAGAGAAGAATATCATTACAGATCATGACAGTACAAAAGAGACAGGCACAGTTATGTCAGTGTATTGATTTCTTATTCTGTATAAAGCAGGTAGTCAGTATTCTACACTAAATAGTGTGGATTTCTGATTGAAGTATTTTATAACCAAAGTATGCAGCAAACAGGCACTACAGGATGACACACTCTAACTGACAAGAGTTCAGTTCAGTCAATTAAAAAAAAGTTATGGATGGATGGATGGACGGGTGGATTGATAGATAGAATGGAAATGTTGAGATCACGATTCTGCACTAAATATATATATATAATATTTAAAGATATCAGTAAAAGATGCACTGCTTCATGGCCTCATTTAAAAAGTGAACTGACATGAAAATAACAATTTCAGAATTGGAATCAGAATCATCTTTATTGGCCAGGCATGCTTACACACACAAGGAATTTAACTTCAGTGGACTGTGCTCTCTTATTTACAAGTATAACATTAAATATCAACAATAAACACAATAAGCAAAGACTAATATGTACAAGACTAAATAAGAAACAGTGCAGTGGTGAGTAGTGCAAAAGATGCTGAATTAACATGATAATAAATGAGGTGAGTAGGCCTATATACAATATATATATGTATATATATATATATATATATATATATATATAGCATACTTGTTAATTTCAAAAGCTTTTAACCAGAATGTTTTGAGGTACTTTGAATTGTTTGAAACCAGTTGTAATATCATGATGAACATATTTTAGTTTTGTAATGGGAGAGACATAGTTGTAGACCGATGGTTTCATCAGGAGAATAAAGTTATAGAACTTTGTGAGTCCATTTGGCTGAAAAATATTCAGTGACAAGAGAAAATCAAATTTACTGGGTTGAATGTGTTGATTGTACAAAACTGCTTAAATGGTTGTCTGTCTTTTTTTCTTTCTGTTTTTCACGTTTCCTTCTAGTGGAGCATCAGGGAGCAGCAGTGAATCAGAGAGCACCTCAGAGTCTGACACAGACGAATCAGAGAGCAGCTCCAGTGACAGCGAGTATAATCCAGCCTCCCGTACAAACACCCCAGAGGTACGATGATGTTTGGGATGTTTTGCTTTCAGATGACAAGTGTGTTTCTATGTGGCTATGTGTGTGAATTCCACGTAAACAATAGATCTAAACTAAGGTCTAAAAATGTTTTAGACATAAATATGATCTTGCTTCATAAGTGAGTGAATTAAGATTTAAAGTTGTTTTTTGTACACTAATAAATGAAGTCCAACCAGTGGAAGAGCCAGATTTTTTTGGACTGGGGTGGTCAAACTGGGCCATTGACTTCTGCAGGGGTGGCCGGAAGTGTTTAGTGTGTGTGCACGCACACTTGATGAGTGCAGCTAGAAAGGATACAAAACAAATCTATTCATATTTACGGTCAATACTTACATTTAAGTAATCAATGAATGTTACATCACTGCGTATATAGATTTTTATATTTTTAACCTTAAAAAGAGGAGCAAATTTTAGATCTTCTTTGCTTGATTCTTTAATTACTGCAAAGAAGATGTATGTTCAAAGTTACAATGCCAAAATGCAAAAGGCTGCATTTAAATTAAAATAAAACTACAGGCAGCCTGTTACAGGTAAAGTTTAGTTCCGCCTCTGACAAGGCAAATAGCCAATCACAGTTCAGAAGAGTGGCGTGGCCAGTGGGGTGGCCAATAAGATTTCTAAGGTGGCCCTAGCCACACCTTGGCGCCGCCCCTGAGCCCAACCCAATAAACGTACTTAATGTATTTTTACTGCCTTTCTGGTCTCTTTCTGCATTCTCTGGTGGTGCTCTAAAAACCATAAAAACTATTCATCACAATATTTGAAGAGTTGAACACAGTTTTCATACAATCATTCAGTCATTCCTGCAGGAGAAGGAGAGATCAATGCTGAGAAAGAGATTTTTAGACTAATTCAAATTTTGCTATCATAGTAAAACTACAAGTATAAAGTCATATTCATGAAATATTAAACAATACTGTATATCACTTTATTTGTTTTTGAACTAATACAGCCGGAGCCACCGTCCAGTAACAAGTGGCAGCTGGACAGCTGGTTGAATAAGGTCCAAGCCCAAAACAAACCCCTGGTTCCCTCACAGCAGGAACATCATGACACAGGTTTGTATGGACAGTTAGCGTTCATATTTTGTCAAAGAGCAACTATTGTATAAAAAATAAATGATTATTATTCTAGCAATGAAATTATTTAATGTAGTCCAACCGTCCACTGCCCAGGCTCCATCACCCAGGATCCAGACACTTTCTCTCCTTTGAATGAAGCACAAGAAGTGGGTGCAGCAGCCAAGACTTCCCCATGCAGTTCCAACAGCAACCCTGTCGAAGCTGCCCCAAAGGTTGAACACACAGATACAAGGTGCACCTTCTGGTAGGAGCCTTCATCTCTGTTCTAATAAATCTGTTGGCTATTTGATGACTTAATGAAGCGCTGATTGAGGGATGAGGAGGGTTTACAACAAATATAGACTTTATATAAAGATGGACGTAACAACAGCAACCTAGGAGTGAAGCCAAAATAATAATATAAAACCCAGAATCTGTCTTGATAGTTAATTATGATCATGTTGACTTATGTCCGATGTTTGTGTGTTTCTCTTAGTGTTCGTTTTGAGTCGAAGTGGTTTGAACCAGATGTAACGTAATGTTTGACAGCTCTGTTGACAAATTCAGCTCCTTACAGCGTTCTTAACCAGATTAGCAGAGTAGAGGAGGAAACGTAAACAAAACTATCAATAAGGTCTTGAACTTTCCGTTAGTGTTTGCTCTAAATCGACAAAAGAAACTGTTCTGCTGTGGACTGTACCGGCCTGAGGGATCTTTGACATTTGCAGTCAGTGGCAACAACTGACAAGAGTTGATCTCATATATACTTGTTTTTTTCTTCCTTGCAGCCCTAGCAAAGAGAAGGCCAAGGCCAAGCCCAGCCAGAAGGCCTTAGGGGAGGGCCAGAGGTCAAAGGTGAAGCTGTCGTCAGGCCTGATGTCTGGGCCAGAGGTCACAACCCCAAGAAGGAACACAACAGGAAAGAAACAGCCTAGACCGACAGAGACATCAAGTAGCCTGGAGGATAATCAGAACCAGACATGGAGCAGATTAAATCAGCATAGGTAAGGAAGAAAGTACAAAAACTGATTCTGATGATGAAATGATTGTGATTTACTGATGAACAACAGAGAGATCAACCTTATCCTGCTACCATTTTCACTCCTCTATTCTGCATTCCTGCTAGCTGCACTAGTTTTGAGTTAAACCTGCTTCTCTAGTTTTCTAAGTGTAAAAACAATATTTTGGCCATTCTGTGTGCCAAGAGCAGCAGGTGCAGAGGAGATGGCATCTAAGACTTTCACTGTCAGGCAATACGTGAAATATTTACCTGGCAGACTCGGTTTGGGTGTTTGGGAAGGTGTTGGGTGAAGAACATGCTGGGCCAATGATGAAAGACTTCATTAATGTGGATATTAGGAAATAAACACCAAAAGTTAAAATGTTGTCAGAATAAGACAGTGTACGCGATAAGAGCCAATGACTGACTGGGTAATACTGAAATAGTTTATTACCATGTGTAGAAAATCCTGAACAGTCTAGTAAGATAGACCGAAAGAATATTCAATTATTATTTATTCAATAAAAAACTCTTTGAGGGCAGAGGATTTGTAAATAAGTGCGCATAGGCCTGTGGCCTAGTGGTTGGTGCGCGGAGGCTGTGGTTCTCTGGGCGGGCGGGCGGTCTGGGTTCGGGTCTGACCTGTGGTTTCTTTCCTGCTTGTCATTCTCCACTCTTTCTCTCTTTCCCTGATACCCAGCTCTATCCACTGCCCTGTCTCTAGATGAAGGCATAAAGAGACAAAATATAATGATAAAAAATAAAAGTGCACTTTGGACAGGAATTGATGATTCAATCTAACTGAGTAAAAACAACGTCAGCTCAGCTTGGTGTTAGGTTGATTAAATGAAACTGACTTTGTAGCTTTTGTTCCTTTTCTTTCTTCCTAACTCACTTTGTTCCTTTTCCTTTCCATTTTCAACCTCTCCACTTCACAAAGTTTGGTAGAATACATGCTGTGTTCAATTATTTCATGCTGCCTCACAGAATATACTTCTCATTTTAATACACAGCCTCCCCCTAGAAAGGCCTGGGACAACTTTATGTTCTTCACTAAGTCTCACACTACATTGTAGAGAGAGTGCTTCGCTCAGTGGTGCTTTTTCTCTTCTTCTTTTTTTTGTCTCTCTCTTCTGTTGTAGCCCTGCAGCTAGGGAAAAGGACATGTTGCCTCCTCCATCACTGGAACATCAGAACCCCTCAAGGACACGAAGCAAACCACCCAGTGGGAAAACAGCCCCCAGGAAAGAACCTCGAAGTGCTACAAACAACAACACAGTTACTCCACCAGCAGCACCACAGCAGACAGCGGTGCCACCACCTGCAGTCAGTGTTAAATTTGTTTTTGGGTGGTTGTGCGTGTGTGTGTTTAGTTTTGGAGGACGTGAGTTTGTGCATTCTTTCTACTGACTAGTGATGGCCTTAATGATGACACCTTTAAGTCCACCCAACGAGTCCTTCCCTGGCTGACACTTAGGGAGATACATAAAATTACCGGCAATAAAGAGTGACTACTCAACCTTAAATGTATGTCTTTGTAGTTTCTGAAAGGAATCTAGTTTAACGGAAGAGAACCCACAAATGAACAGGAAGAAACCCCAGCCAGCAGCTTTAAGAACCTTTAAGCTGTGAGGTGAACTTTCTAATCACTGCACCACTGTTCCACTCGGACTTTTAAATGATAAAACAACAAGTGTCTGTCAAGCTGCGACATCTTTGAGTTTTCCAAAGGTCAATTCATTCACGGTACTTTCCCAACTACAACTATGCACAACTGGAACACATGCATGAAATCAGCATTTCTATTGAATTCACATTTGAACATTTTAAAACCAAATCTGCAAATCTGTCACTGTTCCTAAATGCTGCAATTAAAAATGCGAGTGTTATAGAGCATTTTTAACAAGGTCATAAAGTTCCAGAAATAAAAACCTCATTATAACATGTCCGATATGGAAGTTACCATCTTACCTATCTGAGAGTCAATTTGTATTTCTGTCAAGGATGCAATTAACAGTGCTATAACGGATTAAAAGATATGTCAGGAAACTAACGCTCCAATTTGAGAAATGTTTCTTAAAGAACTGCGTTGTAAAACATCCGTCTCATCACTTAGTGCATCAAAGTTTTCTTGAGTTTAACTTTCATTTTTGCCTCCCAAACAGGAAAAGAGGAAACACAGAAGTACAAGCAACAGAATCGTTCCCAAGTCTCGAGAATTCATCGAAACAGATTCCTCCTCCTCCTCTTCTGAATGCCAGTCAGATTCAGAGAAAGCCATCAAAATATTCCCTCTGCCGCCTCAGACGACACACTCTGTGATAAACACACAGACTCTGTCCAATGCACACGTGCACACTCCCCCTCTCCCAAGCCTTTCCTCTGGTGGCACTTCAGGCACTATAGGAACATTTGGAGGAAAGGGACTTCCAGTCATAGATGGTAGCATTGAGACCAATAACAGTAGCGGCAGTAGTAAAAGTAGCATGAGCAGTGGTAGTAAAGGCAGTAGTGGTAGTAGCAGTAGTTCCCTAAGCATTATCAATGTAAGTGGTTCATTTGGTATTTCGGTACCTGATCCTGGAGGGTCAGGGGGACAGTGCAAAAACCTGATGCCCATGTCACCACCCTCCGACATGGGACACAAGGTGCCTCTCTCCCCCTTAAGGGAATACAAAGAGATAAAATGTTTATGGGTGAAAATTGACCTGTGTTTACTCAGCAGGGTGCCTAGCAAGGGTCTGGGGGAAAGATCCAGAGCGGGAGAATGGGACAGAAGTGAGAGGACAGATACAGAGAGGCTGAAGGACAGGGAGAGGACCGGGTTGACAGAGAAGGACAGACAAAAGCAGGAAGGGAAACTATGGCCTGTACTGAGTGAGAGGCATAAGTTAACTAAAGTGGAAAAGGAAGAAGACACAGATATATTAATGCCTGAGAGGCAAGATGACAGAGGGAGATTAACAGAGAGAGAGAAGCAGACTGAAAGAGAGGACAGAGAGAGATTAAGGCTTGCGGAGAGGACAGACGGGAGGGAAGGAGACATTGTGAGCCATGGTCTGGAGGTGCTGGACAACCCCCCTGTGCACGAGCAGAGTAATCCTTGGCTGGCAAGGAGGACGGAGAGGGGAGATAAAGGAGGCAAACATAGGAGGCATGCACCTAAAAAAACAGTTTTCCTGAATGAGAAACACACCAGCAAGAGCAAGAGGAAACACAAGGTGTGACACGGTCTATTCTCCTACATGTCCAAATACTTTTCAATAAATGATTTAACACACTCCAACAGGTTGAAGTCTCTGAAACTCTCTGTCTGTCTTCAATATTCAAGTCGGACCCCAGTTACCCATCAGTCGAAGCCAATAAGAAGCTGCGATTGGACAAAGACTGCCAGCTGCTCCCACCGTGCATCTCTCCAATACACAACCACAAGAACAACAACACAGAGTGAGTATTACGGCATATCTGTCACACTTTCTTTTAGAATCCCCAGAGGATTAAACAGGAGTATAGTGCACCTGTACGCCTGAATCCCTGCATTGCTGGTTTTGATGCAGCATTCACTGCAAATGAGACAATTAACAGAAGTCATAGCAGACATGTGGAGACCTTGATTGGGGCTTTCTAACCTCAATCAACTGTGAAAGTAACCTTGTGGAAATAGTATTTCTTTGTTAACAATACTGTATAATGCATGTGTTTCTGAGTATCCTCAAGGAAGAGCAGTCTGTCCAAACTTACATTATGTACATACTGGATATACTCTTTTCTTTATGTAGCTGTAATGGAGGGAGTCTGCCGAATTTACTGTTGGCCTGTTTACTGTTGCTCAATGGAGAACAAACAGACACACACACACACATAAACACGCATAGTGGTATCCAACTACACAAACTTACCTACTTCCACAAGCTGGGCTGACAATGTATTGTTTCCTTTTTGGATTTAAGCTCTTGTGACTCACATTGTCTGCAGCAACAGATCATGTTTTTTGTTTACCTCTGCTGGGGATCTCTAGGGGTTTAATGCAGTGCAAAAAAGCTGCAGAACAGCCTGGGCCAAGACATTACTGATATTATACAAAACCATGGAGACAAAGACTAATGACTTACTAGAGAGTGTGTGTGTGTGTGTGTGTGTGTGTGTGTGTGTGTGTGTGTGTCTGTCTGTGTCTGTGTGTTGCTGATTAGCATCCTGCAAACGTATAGTTTATAGTTTAAAAACATACCGAGGTACACTAATAATGTTTTTGCCTTTTGTTTTTTTGCAGCCCTTTTAACAAGAAGCAGTCTCGACACCACAATGACAAGCTGCTTCCGCCGCTCCTATCCCCCCTCTCAGATGACCCACCTCACAAACAAGACGGCAGTTCCTCGCTGAGCCAAGAGGCTAGCACCACCACCTCTTCCACTTCCACTTCCTCTTCCTTACACAGACACAGGAGAGGTGAAGGCAAAGGATCGTCACATGCAAAAAATGGCAGTGTAAGTGCACAAAAATACTACTTAATACTAATATCTCCCCAATGTGAGTTTTCTTATCTGAATTTTGCCAAACACTAAGAGCCCCCCTTTGAACTTTTTAAGAACATTTTGTTGTACAGTAGCAGGATATAGACCAGCTAAACACCAGGATGGAGACGTAAAGAGAAAAAGAGAACAGCTCAAAGTATATGTTTTTATGTTTTGGATTGTTTTTGGCTAAGGAGGAAGAATGGGTCATTCACTCATTGAGGATCTGCTGTTGATCCACACCTCTTCTAATGTGCTCGTTAAAGTGTTTGGGCTAGAGACTAAACCACATATACAGACACTTTACATAGCAGCCTTTACCATCAGTGTGTGAATGTGTAGGTGTGACCTGTGGTGTAAAAAGTGCTTTGAATAGTCAGAAGACTAGAAAAGTGCTTTACAAGCTCAAGTCCATTTACCATTCACCATGTAGTCTACTGATCTACACCTGCTGGTCTGAACGCCACATAATCACTGCTCAATAATACCATTGTAAACATCTATTCTTCTTTTCAGCAGAAAAGTGATACCCAGGCTGAGCAGCTCAGTGGAGACGGCTACCATGCCAATGGACATAATTTGGAGGTGTGGACAGAACCAGCGATGGAAGCTGCTGAACTTCGCAGGCCAAGACTGTCATTTAGCGACACGTATGTAAAAAATTCAGGGTCTTTCATACACACCAATATGTTTGCTTTTTATACATTTTGCAAGGGTAAGGTCAGTATTTTGACAATTAGAAGATGCAACCAGTTTCAATGTAAGACATTGGCTGTGGTTCACAGTTCACTGAGATGGGCTCATAGTTCATGCTTGAAACATCTGCAAACTGTGCAAAACTGTAGTAGGAGACAGCATCTGTTCTTTGTGCACACGTTATTCCTTCTAGAAAGCTGATATAACTTGTTTCTTAACCAATGGATTATTACTCTCCTTTGGGTAAGGTTAAGAAAGTCATCTTTGAAAACACCTTGACCCCACTGCTGGCCATTTCTGACTGAGCTTAGAATATATTTATTCTGTTAAGGTGGGGACAATACACAGATTGAACATGTATTATCCATATAGTTATTACAACACTTTGTAATCAGGTATAATTGGTCCAGTCTGATCCATTCTGGATAAGTTATAACCACACCAAACCCCATGCACAAAATAACACCCAATACAATTCAGACAAGTAGTAGGATTCTAAAAACTAAGTGGATCCAAGTGCTCCTCTAATGCATGTCTCGCTTTAAAGAAACAATATGTAAATTCCACCAATCAATACCACAATAACAAAAAATGACATAAGTGGCTGGCGGGGAATCATGGGAGTTCTCTCTGCTACTCCCGAATGAACTCCTCATTCACTGTAGTTAAGATGAACGGGCAACAGAAAATGTTTACCGACGATGTATCCAAGTATAGTTTACATGAGGTTTTTATCACAGCAGCACATACAGCAAACAGAATGGCTGCAGTCTTTGATGTCACATCGGGTGTTTCCACGGCAACGATAAACGAGTCCGTCATAGCGGCTCTGTCATGGCGTCTGCCACGCCAAGACACGTCCCGTTACAACTATAAAATTACAGAATTCTCTAGCTTTAATAACTGTTGAAAATATTTAAGGTAATGTAAGTACTCAACAAAAAAAACTTTAGAACAGGTTTAGTACATTTTTTATTAAATTTCAATATTTTAATGTAAACATTGACATGAAATTCTACATATTGTACATTTAAAACAACCAATCTAATTTGTTGGCTGATACATCTCCATGGAATGTATAAGCCCGATGGAGATCTTTACACTCATTGTAGTTGGTGATATATCTGGAACTACCTCAGCACTGGTTCAGATGTGTAAAAATCTGGAGAGATGATCCATGTTGTATTTATTTATCCCAGAGGGTTTCTTTAATATTCATTAAAGGCATGTTTACTTCTGTTATATAAGGTTATGTGAAAACCTGAGGTATGTATAACTGGGAGCTACCCATGATTAATGATTATAAACTTACAAAGATATTTAAATGCTAACTCTGAGCTATTTTAACATGATTAACATGTCAGTAATTATCTGCTATTTCCAGGGTCCACGGTGCAGACTACTACATGCAGGAGGCCAAGAGGCTGAAACATAAGGCTGATGCATTGGTAAGATGTTGACTCCGTCTGCAACTTTCAGAAACGCGTGCGCGCACACACACACACACACACACTGACACAGGAGGCAAAGCGAAGGCAGTTAGAAATACGGTTATATGAGGTTATTTAACAATGAGGTAAATTTTGTATTTAACAACACATGAATTTTGATTTAAACTTACAAAGATATTTAAATGCTAACTCTGATATTTAATAAAACATGGATTCCTCATCAACATGTCAGTAATTATCTGCTATTTCCAGGGTCCACGGTGCAGACTACTACATGCAGGAGGCCAAGAGGCTGAAACATAAGGCTGATGCATTGGTAAGATGTTGACTCCGTCTGCAACTTTCAGAAACGCGTGCGCGCACACACACACACACACACTGACACACACACTGACACAGGAGGCAAAGCGAAGCCTGACAGTTAGAAATACGGTTATATGAGGTAAAGTATTTAACAACACAGAATTTTGTCTTCACTTAAATTGTGTGTGTACTTTTAGTTATCTGTGAGTCATTGCTGACACATCTCAATAATAAAACAATGATGGATTCCTCATCAGGGACTGTACTGTCTAATATCTTCTATTTATTGCACAGTTTGTCTCTGAGGGAAAATTGTGTTTAAGGAATGATGATGTCTGCAGGATTATATAGTGTCAAAGGAGCCCACATGGCTTTGCATAAATAACATTTATGAAGATTTTTTATTTGACTTGCAATTATCTTAACAACTATTTGTATGAGTTTTTTTTCCCAGATTCATTCGACATGTTTCTGACGGTAATTGTCACCTGCATTTCCTCTTTCTTCCTCTCGCTGTATAGATGGACAAATTTGGTAAAGCCGTGAACTACACAGATGGTGCCCTCTCCTTCATAGAGTGTGGAAATGCGATGGAGAGAGATCCACTAGAGGCCAAATCCCCATATACTATGTACTCTGAGACTGTCGAGCTAATCAGGTATGGAATAAATACGTTTTAAAAAAGTGGCCTTATCACATGCATAGTGTTTTAAGGCAGTGTGTTTAGCACCCAAATATCCTTCGTATGTAGACAGTGCTGTGTAGCCTTAGATATTTTTACGAGACCTAGTCAGTCGGTGCACAAGCCGGTCATCAGAACAAGCAGAAAATTTAATTTTGAAAACATTGTCTGTCTGTATAATAATAACTGCCTCCCTTCTGCAGGTATGCCATGAGGTTAAAGAACTTCACCAGCCATTCAGCCACCGTCGCTGAGAAGAAACTAGCTATGTTGTGGTATGCTTCTATTTTTAAATTTGTGCATCCAAGATGTGTGTGTGTGCGTGTGTTTCATGTGATTTAAATGTGCCCTGATAATGGATTTAATTTAATTTCTGCAGAAATCCTGTTTGTAAATGTCTGAATATCTCACACATGGCACAAAATGTGTCTTTGTTATTTTCTACATGAATCAGTGCCCAGGAAGTGTTAAAGGCAGGGGAACTTGGGTCAATGTTAGCACCAATGGGTGTGGCAGGTGTGGCAGCTGTAGCATTCTTATTTTAAAGTATTTAGAAAGTGACCAAGAAAAACCTGTGTTATACAATCATGGTGCATTCCATTTTGATAACTTCTTTGTGCAAACGCGAGGGGAGAGGGGTTAGTGGTGTGTGTGTTTGTCGCTTTGGGAGAGCGGAGGATTCAGTACGGTGGAGGTGTCGCCAAACAGCATTTTGTTTCGGTTGCATGCTGGTGCTCAAGGGCGACATCTTCTGGATGAAAAAGTCGCAGATTCTTTCTTTATCGCTACCTCTTACACACCTCGGGGGATTTCTCCTGAGGTGTGATTCCTCCGCGGCCCAAAAAGTCCAACTGAGACAAACATCAAGATCACGTCTCTCTGTGTAATACACACTAAAACTGTAACACTCACACACTCTCACACAACAAAAAGCTTGATTTATAATGATGCTCGAACACATAACTTTAACCCACAATCCTGTCAGCAGAATAATACAAAGGCTGTGCTGTGCTCATAGAAAATCTAGGCTTTTCCAGCAGCAAGAATAAGTAAATACATGTTTCCAGCCTAACAGAGATGTTACATTAGCATGCTAGGGCCCTCTCTTTCTAAGAATAAAGACTGTAACCCACCATGTAAATAGCAATGTACCGGCCTGCAGGTGAACATGGCTCTTAAATACGATTGAAGTAGTCAGGGGGGGCTCTCCTGATCACAGAGCGATTATACATTTCAGAAAGGGTAGGTCGAGATGAACCGATTATTTTGCTGGCCTGACTAACTATGCAGGAGAGGGAGTTGTATCAGGATGAGAACATGGAATTGTTTGTACAAGCCATGAGTAAGAGTACTTTGCAGGACCCTGCATACAGACAAAGTGAGCATGTTTGTTTTCTTAGAGACTCTCTGTACTCGTACAACCATTTATCAATTTTCATCTCATACAGAAACTTTTCTTAAGAGAGATTTTTTAATGCTATGATACTAACTATTCTCACATTTGGAATCTGTGATTTATTCTCTATTCAAAAACATTCCTCAAGAATCGAAAGCACTCTTAATGTTGCTTTAACCTTTGGCTTCCTCAAAGTAATCAAAGAAACCTCTGTGTGCTCTGCAATAAAAGACTTCACATCACAAGCTAAGATGTGGATTTTCACATTAGTGTGGCAGCTTGAAATATTGGCCACAGTCTTTACTTCGCTGGAGATCCTCTTAATCCATAAGGAGTTGTGGGGCATTTTTTGAAGTCAGAGTGAATTTTTGTAGAAAACATGAAAATAATATGCGGCATGAGGTTTCAAAGGGAATCTTCAGACGTTTCATCTGCCTCCTAATGATTTTGTTTCCATAGTAACCGCTGTCTGTCTCTGCTGTATCTGAGGATGTTCCATCTGAAGAAAGACCATGCTGTCAAGTACTCCCGGTCGCTCATGGAGTACTTCAAGGTAAAAGGCAAAAACATTGACATAAATACAGTTTGACACAGACTTTGTTCTTTTTAATCTTTCTCTCTCTTTTATTTTCCTGCTCTTTTGTTGAAAAATATGGAAGCCAGTTATAATCCCTGAGAAGAGAAGATTATATTGGTGCATGTGCATTGATGTTGTATTACTTTGTGAATCCATCCTTATCTTTAATAAAATTGTCTTAATTAACTTAAGCTCTGCAACATGTTGTTTCATAATGAAACCAAATAAATATAATCTAAGCTAAGAATCTAAACTAAACTAAATTGGCAAATCGACTGATATCAAGAAATTATCCAATACCAGTAAAAAGTCTAACAAAAGGTTAGACCAGTCAAAAACACCAACACATTCCTCAGTAAAAAAACATGGGGATGGAATCTAGGATTCTAGGAATCCTAACCTAAAGAAACAAGTAGAACACCTTGAAACAAGATGCAATACAAGTTGTTATCCACACATGATAAGACTTGTGATTATGAAGCCTGTTGTTGCTATGTAAGAAGTTTATGAAATCCACTCTGGAGTCTGACAGCTGCCGCACATGAACAGTCGCTACACGTTTTATGTACATCCAGAGATTAGTTATTTCCATTTCAGACAAAGCTATTGGTAAAAAAAAATTGGACGGACAACCCACTGGTTTAAAATAAAAACAACAAAGAAATCGCTGAACAAGCAGTTTTCCTCTCATACCAACATTTGGGTGGACAGTTATGTATATGACTGACAAAATGAAAAAAATATGACTTCTGATTGCATATTTCACTGTCCTTCCTGTGAAAAACTAAATATTTTGACTGTGAGGCTTGATTTTTCTGTCTTTTTATGACCCAGAATTCAGCCAAAAGTTCCCACCAAGCAACCTCTCCCTGGAGGACCAATGGGAAGTGAGTATACGCACACACACACACACATGCCTATCACACGCCCATCACAAACCACTTTCACAAAGATATCTGAGTATTTGCAATTCAACAGATTAAAACATTGCAGTCACTGACAGCTGATTGGTCAAACAAACCACTCAAAGAGTTCAATTTCTTGAAGATTTGAGGCAGAGATTACAAAGTGGTCTGTTGAGCATGCCAAAAAAGTGTGAGGTGAGAGGGCTTTAGCAAAAAACGTACATATTTTCTTACTTTTTCCACCAACTATATATCTACAAAATAAACAAATAGCATACTGTATCATCAGTTTTCCAATAAAATAATAAAAACATTTGTTTGTTTGCTTGCAGGGATAATGTAAATGTGACACTCATAGGGATGAACCCAATGAGATTTGAACTTTCTAGTTCCCCTCAGTTTTTAATGTCTCACTCGTCTTGTTTTAGGGCCCCAAATCCTTTTTATTTTGTACATTAAGGGTTTGACAGTTATGGAATCTTTTGGGGACGATACCGATATCTATATTGGGGAGAAGGAAAATTGATAGAAATATATCAGTCGATAACTTTTTTGTAGATCTACGTTAGATCTGTAGAGATAGATATGGATATAGATATGCACATTTATTGCATAAATCCCTAAAATGCAGTTGTAAAACATGTGTGGCAAAGATATTGCATGAAGACAAGATGGTCACTCAACTGAAAGTAATATACTTGCATCACTGCTTGACCCTCTGGAAAGCGCACTCTGCTGACGAAAGACAACTGCTAGTGTAGTACAATGAAACTCAAATTAAATGCTGTTTGACTGGTGGATAAAGCTAGAAACATCAACGCATATCTGTGAAAAAATTATATAGTGGATTAGCATATCCAGACAGTCACTGGATATGCTAATATCGGCTGATTTTATTGGCTGGCCGAAGATAAAGACACGCTAGAGCTGGAATGAAAGAAAAACATATCAGTGATCTCTATTACTTGTGTTTTTTGTACTTTTGACACCACCAAGCAGTCTTGGTTGTGATCAGTGATGTGATTTTCTTTCATTCAAAATCTAGTGGGTCTTTTTCTTTGAAAACAGAAAACTAAGACAGTACTTGGCAGACAAATTGGATGATAGTGAATCTGTTTTGAAAACCTCACCCGACAGACTTAAGTTCCCATTTATTATTTTGTCAAGTAACCAACATTTCCTCAAGCACAGAGCCTACATGTTTCATTATTTTTCCTTTTAATGAGACTCGATTCCTGTCTACTGTGTTCAGGGTCAAAGAGACTCCATCTCCCCCATCACTCAGCCCCTCTCCAGCAAGCAATGGAGGAGGAAGCGGAGATGCAGTGGGAGGATCTGGAGGCTCATCAGGCAATGTGGCGATTCCTCAACGGATTCACCACATGGCAGCCAGTCATGTCAACATCACAAACAACATTCTGCGGAGCTATGACCACTGGGAGACAGCTGACAGACTAGCCACTAATAGCCAAGGTAGGACTACAATCCAGTTTCTGCTTCGATATCCTCCATGCAAGCTGTGTTGTTTAAAGAATGGAATGTTTTAGTGTTGGTCAACAAAGTTATATTTTCTTGCTTTCAAAATCTTGTGCAGCCCTCATCAATGCAAAAAAAAAATCACTTTCTAAAGCTTTCAAAACACTCATTGACATCCGAGATATGTCTGCAGAGATCTGCCTTTATGCTGCTGTGGAAACTGAATAGTAGATGAAAATCTCAAAATGCAAGTTCAATTTAAAAATATATCATACGGCTTAAAAAGAAAGTCGACAGAACAGACACATACAGGAAGAAAGAAACAGAAAGAGGGTGGATGAGGCGATGTGTGCATAGACCAGAGGTCAAAATGTGTGTCTACAGACAAAATAACTTAGAGGGGACTTTCAAAGACTTCAATGCGTACAGTCAAAGGGCCCTATTCTACACCTGGCACAAAGGACCTGATGAGAACCCAAGTGTTATTGCTATTTCGTTTGAGCTCAGCTGATACATCAGGTGTTATACAGAGTCATGTTCTGCCGTGCAATGGTCGCTAGTTTCCCTTCGACCTGCTTAATTTGGTGCAAGCCATCTCTGATTTATAATCTTCTTTTTCACATTTTTGGTTTCCCTTCAGCTGCTCTGTCTTAGAAAAGCTGAAATAAATCTTCAAAAATCAAACACAGTTCCAGACTGACTCCAAGCCCTCTAGCATTTTCTCACTCGAATGTGCACTTGCTAATAAACTGAACAAATACACATGCTTGCATCGTTCCAAGAGCTAGATTTTTTTATACGCCTCAAACATAACAATCAGAGCCATCCATACGCTTGTTCACATGGAGTAAAATAGCCTGTCCAATGTTATGCACGCAGTAGAAAGTTGACCATGGATTCCAGTTTCAAAAATAAGCCAGCTGAGGTTGACACATCTAACATCTGAGGACTGTGTCTCTTTCTCATCCTTTTACAGAGTTTTTCCAGGAGCTGGACTTAGTGATGGAGCCATTGAGTCAGCAGAGCAGCATGACTGAACTGGTCCGGTACATCAGACAGGGACTACACTGGCTCCGCTTGGAGGCTCACCTGCTCTAAGAACTGGTCCAGCACAAGATGAAGATAACAAAAAGAAATAGGCCTGGGAAGTCCAAGTGCAATAAAAAGTCAGAGGAGATTCAGGAAGATGTTTATATTCCTGACACCACCAATGTTAATATAAAAGCATAGACGGGTTGACTCATTTCACAGAAATGCCCATGCAGTCAGAAACTGAAGGACTTACTTTGTATTTTGAAATAGGAATCAAGGGATAACTTTGCCTTTAAGAAGTGTAGGTTAAATTCCTGAAATTGAAATCTCCAAGATAATAAAGAGGCTCAACAGTTACTGATCTGCTCAAGCAGTGGCCAGTAAATGTGTTTTAAGTTGGGACAAGGAGTAAAGCCTCAGGCTTCTATTGATCAGAATAAAGTATCAAGGAACCTGCTGGTAAAGGAAGGGTTCAGCTACAACCAGAAGAGCTAATAATAATAATAAAGAGGCAGAAATTATTTCAGTCATTAAGTCAGAGCCGTTTGTGACCTGGAATTTGTGGTTTTCTGATTTAGAAACATCTGGAGTCCGATCTGGAATATGTTAGTACATTGCAAGCCTCACAAGTTGAATATGAAGAAGTCTGTAGCTAGACTGAGGAGGACAAGACTGTGTAGGGTTGTCAGCTGAACATGGACACGTCATGGTTCTATAAATGGGGGCACTCTTCAAACAGAAAAGGCCTTTCACAAGTCTTAGTTTATTATTAATGAGATTGTATGATATTGAAATCCTGTAATTTCTAAACAGTTATGCACCCACCATGGTGTCAAACTCTTGCTAAAGCAAAAAACGGCAAGTCTGAATATAATTTGAAACAATAAGGCTTAATGAGATCTAATCACTTTAATCTCATTAAGGCTCGTCTTTGTTTCCCCTTGTCCGTCATGTGCAGGTGTTGGTGCAAATATGTATACCGCTGACTGCCATGTCTATCTTAAGCACTATCTGATTGGACAAGAATGATTTTTGTATATTGTGTATATTGTAATGTACATACTGGAATTCTTGTGATTGTTTTTGAGTCAATTGTGAAAAATTCCCTGTGGATCAATCCTATGAAACACATTTTTTTCCATGTGAGTATGTGTGTGTGTGTGTGTGTGTGTGTGTGTGTGTGTGTGTGTGTGTGTGTGTGTGTGTGTGTGTGTGTGTGTGTGTGTGTGTGTGTGTGTGTCTGTCTGAGTATTAGTAACTCTGTGCCTGAAATTACACAGACACATACGATCAGTTTTTTAACCCTTATTGGCAAAAAAGGAAACTCTTTTATTTTAAAAAATTAAATGGCATTGGGTTAGAGACTTCAAATATTAAAGTCAACCCTGGATTACTATGATGAAGTAATAGGGCCACGTTAAAGACAATAAGGTAGTTGTTTATTTTGAGAAAAAAGACATAAAAGTTAGCTATAATTAAACCAAATGTTCATTTAAAGGTTCGTATCAGAATTGCAGCCAGCCGTATGCAATAAAATGAAGGACCTGGAGCATCTTGTGAAATTATACTTCAGTATAGGTTTTACGTGTAAGGAAATACTTATTCTTATGGCACATTGGCACCACATTGTCATAAGTATCAGGACTTTGGAAATACTGTGCAAGAAACAGAGTCTACTGTATCTAAAAGAAAGAACCTTGGTGAGGAAAAAGTCTCTTTTGTTGTGGAAGAAACAACTTGCTCACACTGGCAATCTGTACCTTGCCTGAGCACGCTTCACCCCTAAAGTCCAGTTCGTTTGACCAGTGTGACCGCTCTGTGCCGTGCTCAGGCACGGTACACTTCCTTGGCCATGGCACACTTCGGAGAGGTGTGCTCCGGCACGGTACAGTTCATGCACGAGCACGTGGGTAAACAACATAAACGGCCTTCATTATGGAGAAATCCGGAGTGTTCCATCTGTATCTGACTAAAATGACTCAAAGTAAAGAAAGAAAGTCATGTCATGTTCTTCGATGTGCGGACGCGGACTCGGCTGCGTCTGCACATCAAAGAGCTCATAATGCTTGGGCTCATAATGGAAAGCCAATTTGCTCCTGAGGTTCCCTAGCCTGCAAATCAGTCTGTGTAGAAGCGGGCCATGATAAATGACCGCAGACATAAAAAGCGTGAAAGGTCACACATAATACTCTTCGTCAACCAATTGAAATAAGTCACAGAGCTCCCCAAAACATTTATTTGAAGTTTCTTGTTATAAATCCACTCTGATACTGTATTTGATTTTGCCTATAAACCCCTCTATTTCAGCCCTGCTCAGAACAGGCTGTTTCTGTGTCTGTAGCTTTAAATGCAAATATCTGTTTGACTACCCTCTCTGGGTGGCTCGGGCTTTCTCACTCCATGCCCATAATGTTAACGGGGAGAAGGCAGACTCAGAGGGCAGAACAAACACCTAGCTGTGGGAGTGTCAGCCACCTGGGGGAGGGGTTACTGCCCTTTGTGATGTCATGAAGGGAAAATCTCCAGCCTGTTCGAGGTTTGAGCACATTTTCTGAAATTTCTGAAAAGTGGAGCAGGCAAAAGACAGAGGATAGACTTCCCTCATTTTAGGGGGGTTTAAACACATGTTAAAGTGTATTTTGCATAATTTGTGACCTTTAAATTATAAGAATCTACACTTTCAACCAAAACTGCATTCAAATTAATGATTGACTAACTTGATTAGGTGAAGGTCCCTGTTGACTGATGTCTGGACAAACAGCAGTTGAAGCTGAACCCGGTCAGCCTTTCTATTAGACAGCCCTTCTTCGGTTTCTTGAGCTGGCTGCTCTTCTGTTATGACATCAGTTACAAGACGTCAAATCATAGCCTACTAGCCTACATTACAGCCTACATGGCTATGATTCAAATGTAAAGTTTTAGATCATGCTATCATAGCAGAATGTGTATGAAAATCAGTGGAGATTTGGAAATGTATTGTCACTTTGATAAAAACAAAACTCAAGTGCCTTTATTTCTGTTGTTGGGAATTGCTCTATTTATTTAAAAAGAGATACTCTAAATGATTTTTCATACCATATTGGTATAAATATGAGATTGTTTTTGTAAAGTCGAGTGTTTCCATAAGCTTTTAACTGGTGTTTATGACAACACCAGGGTCTGGCTTTAAGAATATTGTGTTATTTATTGTGTTGAGCTACGTTATCTGCTGTTTTCTGTCCAAGATACCTGACAAACTGAAACAACTGCATGCAATAAAGGATAGCTTCAGACCAAGAACTACTTCTGTCCATTGTGAAAAAAAGATCCATTTCAACATGAACCAAAACACAGAACCATTTTCAATGATCAAAACTATTATTAAACTATTTATTCCTACATGAAAAACAATGATATCAAGACTTTATCATAGTCAGCAGATGGTAAGCTAATTCAAGCACAAAGACTGACAAAAGTTGATGGAAGGTGAAAGATTTAATCTTACTTAACTCTCTTAAGTTCTTGCTCCAATCTTGCAGATACATTCCTAAAAACGTTTGTAATTAATGTTTTTGTCTTCCTGATAATTTGTAGGAATAATGAATCATTTAAAATCGAGAACTTTTGTCCATCTTGATTTGTCTGTTTAACCAAAGTGTATTACGTTTTGGTCGTCAGTGTTACTTGCTGGATTTTCTTTCAGCTGATTTAAGTAACTACACCGTAACTAATCAGGTTTTGTGTGATTCAGATTAGAGGTTCATTTGATTTTCTAGCTGGTCATGAATGCCTGGTATTTGGATTGTGACTCTAAACAGTCAAGCTGGCTGTGTACCTCTGCTCTCCCTGTGTTTGTGATATGCTAAGCTAACTAGCTGCTGACAATTTCTTTTTATTTTGCTTCACTGGACAGTTTTTAAAATGCTTTGGTGACATCCTCCCATGAATATCTTCATGACAACATTTTCTATAGTGCTCACATGTAATTGCTGAAGTTGCAGGGAGTGGGGTTAGGGTCATTGGCAGGCATACTAAGTGACTGACTTTCACAACACAGACCATGGTTTGGAGTCTGCAAGCTTGTCATTTAGGTCGAGAAACCAATGATGTGATCTTCAGGAAAGATTTGACTTGTATTTTTAGCGTAAACATGAGACATGAGATTTGACAAATTGAAAAAAGTAACATTTTCTCATTAAGGTATTAAAAATCCTGGTTGACTTTGACTTTGTTTTTCCTGTTGCTAAGTAGTTATATTGAATGTAATGTTTGGGAGATGCGACTAATACAGACCACAAGAGAAGTAAAACTCATCAAGCTGGTAATTAAGTTTTATCCCAAAGGGATCAAATATTCCTGGACTTGTGATTCCTCATCTGAAAGCCTTGACATGTTTAAGATAAATGGTAGATGTGACAGTCCAAACTCTGTTACACCATGTTGTATTTTCTTTCATATTATTTGAAGTCATGAAGCTCTGTCAGTGCATCCCAAAGACAAAACTCTGTAGCAGCTAACCCATGAAACTCACAAACTGCTTCTGTTCATTGGTTACACGTTGATAGCTGATCATCAGTGTTGTTTAGTCCAGTTCAATCAATGTTTTGTTTTATCGTTTTAACAGTGACGTGACTGGTTTGTGTTAATTTCACAAAATGGTCCTTATTTTTAACATCATGCAGCAGTACAATCAATCTTTTTGATATAGTGCTGTAATATTAATTTTAAAAGATTGCTCTGCTGGTCACACTGCATTTGACTTATGCAATGTAAATATTTTTAATACATGTCCAAACCAAACCCCAAACACACGGGAATCAGAGAGCGACTGACGCCCAGGAACAGGAACCTTACAGGACAGCTGGGATCGGCTCTGTTGAATGAGCTACAGTACAGCATCAGCGCTCATAAAATGATCACAACTAGTTCATCAAATGCAGCCAAACAGAATCATTCCTGCTGCTGGTGTTCTTACAACAGAAAGTTAAAAAGAATTGTTAATTTTTTGACAACCAATTTGTTAAAACACTTTTTTGTAGAACTGCAAAAAAAACGAGGGTAATGTTTTCCTCTCTGATTTCTGTAATCTGCCAGAAAGCTTTGTTTTCCCAATATTTTTTTTAGCTGACTCTGAAGTCATCCTGATAAATAGATAATGGAAGGTATTCTTTATTCTCACGACGACACAGGTCTGTTCTGGACATGCTAACATGTAACTATAATTACTCAGTTGTAAGACTTTTTTTGCACAAGGAAATATATTAGAAAATTCATACGAGTACCACCTAGACCCTGTTAGAATAACATGGTAAAGTGCATTTTGCATAATATGTGACCTTTAAGGGGTGCTTGCAGTGATTATTATTCTTAACTTTGAAGAGGGATATGTAAACTGGGCCCTGACTCCTGTTTTTATGTCAACTGGGATTATTGCTTTACAGCTCTTCTTCCAAACTATAGATGTGATATGGCTAAACATAAAACCTAACCCTTGGAAAGAAATCATATTTCCCAAAATGATGGTCAACCATCACTTTGTAGCTGATATGAAGCAATTGTAATAGGGCCTTTAATATAAAACATAAAATATAAATTATTTGACTAAAAAAGATTAAAAATTAAGTTAATCTAGGCTTTTCTGTCAACCAGGAACAATCCAACCTGTTTCCAATTTTACAGTCAATCCAATAACTTTAATAGGCAGCAAAATAATGTCAGATATATGAACCAGTAATGTTTACCTCTACCAAGGTTGTTTGTAAGGCGTAACTGCCTTTGGTGCAGTTATTGTAGAATAGCATTTATTGTTTTCTCCTGACACCAAAGTGTTCAATTAATCATGAAGGAGTTCAAACCTCCCAACGGCCACATCAGGGGAAAAAAAAACTCACCCTCTTTTTTCTCAAAGCAAAGGACCATTTTACTAACAAACCATGACGATGGTTTTTATTATACAAATCATGTGCCATTCTTTTAGTTTTGTTAAGTAAACAGATCAATTATTGGTGATCTTAATTGGCTATTGCAATAATAAAACTGGGGCAAAGATCTGTTTAATGATGTTAAATGTTGTGCATTACACATTTAAAACATAATACAAGCCGGTCAATTGTTTTGTTTTAGACACACAGCCACATTTTGCCTCTTATTCATCTTAAGAAATCTCTGTCTGTTCTGATTTACATCACTAGCTTAATGCGATATTTTAAACATCCCCCCCCCCCAAGACCACCTCAGAGCAATCCGCCTAGTGTCAGATGTTTTAAAAAATTTGCACAATATTATTTCTGTTTTTTTTATCAGTGCTTTATTTTGAGCTTTTATACGGTTCTTTTTTTAAATGAAGATGTTCTATGTGCTGATTAGAAATTGTGATGCAGTTCTATTGTTTTTAAATATTAAATGTTGTTTAAGAATGGATTAAAATCTGTTTAAAACAGTAGTACTGTCTCGTGGTCTTGTCTGCATCTAAAGCTTTCTTAAAGATCTGTTGGGATTATTCTTGAGTCTGTCATGTTTTCAAATGAGACCAAGCTTGTTATGAAGCTTCTGGTTCAGTTCAGATAGCATGAAAATATTGATAATAATATGAATAATTGGAATTATTTTCATTTAACAACACGTTTTCAGTTTGCAACATGTCAATGGGTAGAGGGAATAATCTGGAGTTTCTGGAATTTGAGTTCTCAAGGTTTTCCGTCTTTGTTTTTTGGGGTTTTTCTGCCTTATTCAGGACTAACCATGTTTGATTTGTCAGACGACCTTGGAGCCTGTCAGAACAGCACATCATTAATGTGAGAGCAAATATTTTGGGACAGCATGCGTTTGAACTCGGGATTGAGCTCTTTCCATAGAAACACATGAAGGAAACTGACAGACTAACTCCCTTAACAAAATTTGTTTTTGTTTAAAAATGCCGGCAAGCTAGAGTTTATTAATGAAAATCAGTACATTTACATGTGAGTGGTATGGATCTTACAGCTTACTTTGTTCGCGTTTTAATGTCATAAAATGCAGTATTGAAAATATAACACTGTTTATCATTCCTTTTATATTCACCTTTGTTGAGAGATAATGAAGTAGACCAGAAGCAGATGCATTAATGATGTAAGTTTGAAAACCTAAGATAGGAACTAATTTGACATTATTCTGTTTTGTTTAACATAATTTATTAAGGATTGTAATATTTCATTTCTTTTATTGTCTGTTCCTGGAGAAAATTAAAAAGATTAGGGCCCCAACTGGTGTACGAACATTTCCACACAAAGCTTGGTATTTATCAACTTGTACTTTTACTACTAAGCAATGTGTTTTAATGTAAGTACAGCTCTGACCATGCTTACACACAGAACCTAGAGGTAAAAGATTGAAAATATATAAAGAAACCAATACGAAAGACAGCTTTAATAGGCAGGTACGGGAGGTGTTTGACCCCGGAAGGGCATATGGTTTTTGACCGCTGAGGTGGCAGGCGGCATTGAGAAACCGCAGCTGTATTGTTTGTTTGTTTTGTTCAAATGAATGGAAACTGATGGACACTGTATTCACTTGGCATGGTGCTGCAACAAATGGATTGTATTATGTTGCAAACCAAAACACGTTGCAGAAATGTTATTGATCAACAAACAGCAAACGGTATCGTATTGACCTATGACAGTACAGCGCGTCAGCCAGGTCACTCCTGGGAGTCAAAGCACATCGGCAGCTTTAGTATTGGACTAAGCTTCTATATTTTTATTTAAATGATCAGCAGCATAACTGTAAAAATTATGTGTTTTAGTAAATACATTTCTTTCTTGCAGAAAGACCTCAAATTAAACTCGCTAATTTTGTCATTAATGGCTTGTATGTGTCACGTGATGTGCCTTAAAGTGCTTTTTTTGTTGAAAAAATTGCATTATCATAAAAACCACATAGGCATTTTGAGAAATTATGGGTTTTCGTATCGGAAAAAAAGTATTGTGATCATACGCGGTTTAGTATAATTTTAACAAGACTGTTGGGATAAATATTTACCGCCATGAAGTGGATTACTCTTTGAAATTAACTCACCAAACGGAAAATCACCCCTCAGTCTTAAGTCTCTAACTAAACTCTTCTCCTCTGTCGCCCCCTGGCTGTGGAACTAACTTCCAAACTCAATTCGACCTGCAGAGTCCATTTGCACCTTTAAGAAAAAGCTAAAGACCCAGCTCTTTCATGAATACCTACAACCTTAATGATGAGGATGACAATGGTTTTATTTGATAAAGACGATTTTAAGACGGTCTCTATGCTGTTATCATCACATCAGAATACAGACTAACACTCAGTGAGCTTGTAATCATACGTTACTAGAAACCATCAGGTCAAGCTTTGTGGCAAAAAATATTTTATTTCATCTTATTTTTACAATCCATTTAAAGCAGGCAAAAATATATAATCATGTTGTCCCTTTCAATTTTGGTAAACAAAGTAAAAAACTAACCAAATGCACTCGTAGTCCTAATATACAGGAGGGGGAAAACTTATTTTAAGGCTGAACTGGCCTGAAAGAGAAGAACAAGTGCTTTGGATTTAATCTTTTTTCTTTGTTTAAACCAGATCTGCCTGTCCCTGTTCACAAGAGGTGAACCAGGAATTACCAGTGATAGCACCTAATACTGAATAAAAAGTGCATTATAAGATATATCAGCCGTCTCTCTTTATGGATGAGTTTCTGTCAATCTTCCCTTTGAACTGCTCTCTCCGTCCATCTGTTGCATTTCATTATCATCATCCAACCTTCTTCCTATTCGTCTTCATCCCTGCTGTGAGGTAGAGGAGCTGCAGCCTCATCTTCACCTGTAGACTCATAGTCTGGATGACAAACAAGTCAGAAAAGAAGTAAACAAGGAAGTCGGGCTGTTTCCGAAACTGCATACTACATACTCAATGTGACTTCACAGTAGTATGATCTGAAATCATAGTACGCAATTTTGTGTATGCAAGAAATACCCTGATGTTAAAAGGATCGCCCAGAATTTTCAGGTATGAAACGGGTACATACTAAAACGCCCCATAATGCATTGCGGCGCTCTGACTTTCCAATCGCAGAGCTCGCCAGCCAACATTTTACTAAATAATACTTAAATGACTACGTAGCTGTATTAGTAATGAACGTTTGAATATCCTCTCAACAGCAGAGGTAATCTGGCACTACTATCCCTGACGCCCAGCCACCACCGTCATTTGTGTTATTCCCGAAACTACCACTGTCCTCATTCATGCACGGCTTGCTCCGACCTAAACCTTAACGGCAAGAAAGTATGACAACAGGAACGCAAGTAATACAAAGGAGAAATCCTTCCTGCATATTATCCCATTTTTCTTAAGAATGAAGTATGTTTTTGTGTGAATTATATTTTAGCATGTTGCTAACGGCACACTAACTGTTGGGTTAAAATGCAGTATGTGGTTTCGGACACAGCCAAGGAATTAAAAATGAATAAAAAAAGAAAATTGGGTCCTTGACTAAAATGAATTCAAACTTACATGAGGCAGACTGGCCATCTTTCTGTGTAGAACACTGTGGTCAGAGTCGCTGTATATATTTTCATCCTGACCAGGGTCATCTGCTGTCATGTACAACTCTCCAGCATGGACATCAGATACATTCACCTAGAAGTATGATGGACAAATGTTATCTCTTAACTGTAATTTAACAAAATAATGTGCCAGTTGAGGCAGATGTATCAATCTGTTCACACAACACTACTCCCCCGCCTGAACCTCATGTGTTCAGACCCAGAAGAATAATGAAGAGTAAAGACATGAAGTAGGAGTTGCTCATGTTGTGTAGTTATGTTCTACACCAACCTGAAATGTTTGAGGGTTGAATCCCAACCAAAGAGTGTATCTGTAGTCCCAGGAGCGTAGAGAGTACCCCATGATCTTTATGTCTTTGAGGTCAGGGAGGTCAGAGTTCACCTAGGAGAAGAATGTGTTTCTATTACCGTATCTAAACCTGTAAAAACTTGCACTGAAAGATCAGGATGATAAGGAAGCACTTACACTTAAAATAGAAAACACTAATGAAATATTATTTGAATATTGAAAGGATTGAACAAAGAAGAACTATTTGAAAGCATATGGAGTACGATGGTTGTGGCTATGCTTGTGTGTGCGTATTTTTTATTGTTGGTGCTTGTGTATGGTGGATATGCATGATAAGGGATCAAATACAACCTGTGAGATTAATTTACTACAACAGTTTAGTAATTGTGAACGAAGGGTCGAACAAATGAAATGATAGGATTTTTTTGTTTGAAACTATGATTATTACTTGCGCTGAAACACTGATGTACTAAGACTCTTTTCTCACTCACTTAATAAAATGATAAAAAGTCTTGAACATGTGCAGAAGCCTCTCTGCAGTGCTGTCTGACCTACAGCTGCTGGATTACACTGAGATGAGCTGATGAACTAATTTTAGTCTGCCAGCGTGTCCTGGATAGAGATGAACCTACAGCAGGTGCAGCACTCCTCTCGCTTTGTTAGTGCACAGATCTTGTGATTTAGCTGGTGACACTCATTGAAAACAAGATTTTACTCATTTTTTACTAGTAACATTAAAATCAATTTAAGGTATTTTTAAAGGCTGCTTGCTGGATGGAAGAAAATAATGACTGAACCTTTAGACAGCAAATGCATGCTTTGTTATTGCGTTAATACACACTACATCTCTGGTACCTGTGGTGTATCAGCAGGCCGAGGGTACTGGCTAAACGATATGGCCTCCTCATGTTCTCTTCTTTCTCCGTGTCGGAAGGTGTAGGCTAGGTTGTCTCCTTCTGAACACAACTCCTCCTGAAAGCAAGAAAACGGACCAACGTAAAGGAAATTAATATCTATAATTACGAATGCTCATGGCATGTGTGTTCTTCTCTTTACTGAGTGTATGCTTGTTCATGTATTTGGGTTTGCAATGTCAGAAAAACAAATCAGCTCCATCTTTACAAAGATGGCTTCATAATCAAAGTTCTGTTCTTGTGGTGCAATTTGTAGAAAATGTGCATGAAGTAAAGGAAATAAGTTTGTATGGAGGATTCAACAAAAAGAATCCTACAAAACACTATAGTCACTATTAGTGTTCAAATTTCCCGCTTTACTTAAAATCCCAGTATTTAAGTACTAACAATTTTTTTAAAGGTTTATTTGGGGGATTTCATGCCTCTGTTTTGATAGGATGGTGGATAGAATTAAAATGGGGAGAGAGAGTGGGGAATGACATGCAGAAAAGGAGCCACAGGTGGGACTTGAACCCGGGCCGCCAACTTGGAAGACTATACAAAATAATAAAAGTATTTTACCGTTGCATTATTCTTTAATAAACAAAGAATAAAACAGTAAAGTACAGTATGGTCTTAAGTGCACAATTGTGCCTGACCTGAGCAACAACCCTAGTGCCCCTAGTGGAGAGGGGCGTCATTACAAAACATTTCACTGAATCACTATTGGATTGGGAAAATAATAATTGCAATGAATTGATGAATGGATATTTTAAACCAGCCGTATCATCCAACCTTCACAACAGGGTCCTAAGTCTCTAACTAGACTCCTCTACTCTGTTGCACCCCGGTGGTGGAAGAACTACCAAAGTCCATTCGATCTACAGAGGACCTTTAAGAAAAAGCTAAAGACCCAGCTCTTTATAAACAACTATGCACATGATGAGAGTGACGACAACAGCAACGACATTTAGGATGGTTTTGACGCTGATTAGAGATCTCAAGAACAGCTGTTGATGTCAATGACATTCTGTTAGCTTTGCCTCTGTCCACTTCCTGTCAGCACCTGTGTGTCCGATCAGACTTAAAGCTGATGTACATCACTTTGGATAAAAGAGTCTTATAAATGAATTGTACATTTTTAGGTTTGGTATATTTGTATCCTTCTAATAATAATCAAATGATAGAGCAAACAAAAAAAGAAGTATTAAAATGTTATTGGACTTATAAAGATTTGATGTGAAGCATCAGCCATCGAGACTTTGCAGCCATTTTTCCATTGAACTTCATTATCTAAGAAGTTATCTGTCCATAACCCTTAGTAATGAATACATAAGGAGCGACTAAATCAAGTCTTAAGAATAATAATGGATTAAAGTTAACTTGCATACCTGGAAAGAAACATCAGGACAAGGTTTGGGTGCTCTGAGGCCAGCCAGGTAGGAAGTGGTGGGAAAAACATCCACCAACTCCACCATGTTTCTTATAACTTTAGTAACTGGAAGAGAGAGGGGTCAGCCAATTAGTGAGTCCGACAGACACTGAGACTAAAATGTACTGGACGTCTGCTCTTTCATCATCTTTGCACCATTTGTGTTTGAAGTCAAAACTAAGCATGGCAAAATATCAAAGTGTATTCCTGACTAAATACTTTAGAGTGCTCTTCAAGTCAAAGACAAACTGGCATATTAAACATGTTTTAAAAAAAAAAAGCCATAAACACTGACACATACATATAGCACACATGATGGTTAGAACATTTGTTTCATGTTTGGGTCAGTTTAGGGGGGGACTTACTGTTAAAGCTGTGCTTTGATTGGCTGAAGACATCGATAAAAGGAAAGGAAGAATTTCTCAGAGTTGTGATGCCAGGAACACAGAAAATTAGAGGGACGCGTGTGGTCACATCAAAGTTAGAATATTTAGCCCATTCGCCGTGTTCCCCCAAAGACCAACCTGCAGCACAAGGGGAGCAGACGAAGAGAGCTGTTTATTAAAACGTGTGGACAGAGGGGATGTAGAGAAAAGTCAAATGATGCATCTTATTTTCATACAGATAACACTAAGACACAAAAAGGACAGAGCGAGTCACTGCTGATATTTTTCATACAGACTTTAAAAATGATGGCGCTGATTGATGTTTACTGCGTTTGTTTATCTAACAGTCATGGAAGGAAATTACCTAAAGTGTCTTCGACTGAAGACGACAACTTAAATGTTGTTTCCATGCAACAGTTTAAAAAAAGGACACCAGTAAAGAAAACATTTTTTTTTTTTTTTTTTAAATGCAACAAATATTTCAGAGGTTATTGAACAATATGCAAACACAACATTGCCATCTGGTGGTGAAACACAAGCTAAACTTCACAAGCCTGCAAGCATTACTTTAAGACAAACTCCAGAGTAATGTAGACTAAAGAATCATGGACATCTGAGTATCTACTGACCGTGATCCGAAGTGAACACCACCATAGTGCTCTCAGCCAGCCTCAGCTCATCAAGAGTACTAAGCAGCCGCCCAACTTGAGCATCCATATAAGACACAGCAGCATAATAATGCTGACGGATACGCAGCTTGAAGACACAACACATCATATTATTAGTGTTCATTTCAGAGGGCGGTATCATGTGAACCAGTTTGTTCAAGATGCGAGAGCAGCTCGTACCTGAAAGTCTTTAGGAATGGGTCCATAGGGGAAGCTGATGTTGAGTCTTTGAACATCATCTCTCTTCCTCACATCCAACCAGGGGTTGTAGGCCACAGGTGGAAGGAGTTTAGGGACCATGGGATCAGGGGCTAAAGTCATTTGGTCTATGGGATATAGAGAAAGGAACTCCTGCAATATACAAACAATCATTTCAAAAGCTTGCTTAATAAAAGGAGGTTCACATTATGAAAGCACTTTGTGATCAACTGGTTTTAAACAGCTTTTCCCTATAAGAGGACAATTCAAAATTATATCCACAATTCTACTATTTAACATCATGGACTGTAAATATTAATGGACGCAGCCAGAGTGATGTCAGCCATCTGTTAATGCAGGGGGCTCTGGAGGCTCAGCAGCCGCCATGCTGGAAATCCTGTCTCAGCCTAACTTTTAGTCGACCTAACGACAGGCTGAGAGACGGAGCTGTCAATCATGTCAGCTACGCGTCTAACTATGGATAACACGAATCGTTCATAAAATCAAAACTGAGCCGTTTGAAAATAAATTTGCCCCCCATGCAATGTGAACCCATGATAACAGATTTCTGAAGTTAATCTATATTATCATCTATGTTATATTATTGTTGATTGTTTTTTTTAAATTTGCTCCAGCAATAACGGTTGTTACCATTCATGCCAATAAAGCATCTTGATGAAATAATGAAAACATATGAATTGCTAAAAGGCAGTCCAACAAGTTAACGGCATGCAGTATATTCTTCTGAAATGTATTTGAGCAGCCTTACAAAGAGATAGAGATAGGATACAGAACGTATTTCACTTCCATTACCATCAGTGCTACCTGTACTTTGTCTCACTAAAACGTACTAATACCCTTGTTATGCTGCAGTGAATGTAATTTATGTGTTCGACAACACAAACTACAACATAGCAAAACACTTGTATTAACAGTTTAAACACTAACAACGACTAAAGTCACATTTAAGAAGAAGCGACATCATTCGCAATGGATTGTGGGATGGTTAGTTCCTTTACTCCAGATGGAAATTATGTACACGGTCTCGTACCTTTGCATTTTTCTCGGTTTTAAACTCTGTTTTCGCGCCGAATCAAACTTACTATAGTCACATGGATTGGTGTAGCTGGTTTTTATGGTTACAGGCTTCAATCTCTTGATATAAGGATTTTTTTCTGATGTCAATGGAGGATTTCAATGGGAAAATTTACTTCAAGAACCAGAGCCGCTGAAAATGTGGGCAGTCAGTGTTGAGCTCTATCAAAACCAACTATTGAGTGACACATTTCAGTATTCCTAAACACAACAATTTAAGTACATGTAGTCCCATGTCCTCAGCTCCCACATGTGTTTATTGTGAGTATAACAAAATCACTGTGACACCAGCTATAAAATGTAAATTCTTTAAGCCCCTTGAAGCAGCAATCATTAGGGCCTGAGCCCGAGAGCTACCTTCAGAGCACTTCAACAAAAAGGCTCCACAATATACATGTTTGGTTTTTGCAATGATCTAACCATTGTGTGCATTACAAATCAAATCAAACAGGCTTTAGTGGTGTAAATATCAAGTCATGTACCTGTGGTATCCTGAAAGGTATGTGTGGTTTGTGGAAGCCCACGGCTAAGAAGAAAGGAGTGCCATCATTGGCCTGACTTTTCAGTAACCTCACTGCTTCCTCTGTGCTCTCCAGGTCGGGCAGGGTCCCTCCAGGCTGCTCCGTTACGTTCACTGCACAGAGTAAGTTGGTGTGGAGTTCACCATCCTCCCCTTTGCACATCTGGAAACAAAGTATATGTATCAAGTATGCAAAGTTGATAATCTTCTGCCTCGCCATGTTCAGGAAATGTGAAAGAGAGGGAGGTTGTTACAAGTTAAGGGGGCTTTTACATTTCAAGACGCAGAGTATCAACGCAAAGCTGAAAAGTTTCTGTCGGTCAATTGGTGGTGGAGATCTTAAGCAATGTAGTAATATAATCGCTTTTAAAAGAAAAGTAAAGAAATCATTTTATAAAGGGATAAGGAAGGGTGATCAGAATCACTGGAGGTTTGTCTGTGATTATTCAGTATGTCAGGCTTTGTTTATATATAGTGTAGGAGCAGAACATCAAGATTATCACAGCTTCCTTTTAGAGGCAGAAACCTCGAGCAGAACCAGACTCATGTTGAACAGCCCTCTGCTGAACTGTGTCTGGACTGGACAGCGGGATAGAGGGAGATGCAGGAAGAAGGACACAGACAGAGCAAGAAAAATAATGATTAAGATTAAAAGAGAACGGCTCCTGCAGGGATCTCCATTTCAGTGAATGTACTAACTCAACATTCAGTAAGAAATCAGGTTCACTTTCTCATTCAAAATAGAATTGTTGCTGACTTTCATTTCTGCTTATCCCTCTAGACTCATCAGGCATGAAAGCATCATTTTTAGAGAAGTGAATATCTTTGAATCACATGATAAGTCTTCTGTCAAGACATTTTACAAAACTGACAAACACAAAAAACTGTTCTGCTAATGAGATGCTACAATGTTCTGTAGTGGAAATAAATGGTAGTTGCATTCTTGCTTCTTCGTCTGCCGCAACATGAGGGAAAAGCCAAACTAAATTTAAGCTCTTTTATCCTATTGTTTTCTATCAGTAGAGTAATCATTAAATGGTAAATGGACTTTAGTTTGTATAGTTTTCTAGTCTGCTGCATAAACTGTTTGATGTGTGGGAACTGATTGGAAAGTGTGCAAGAGATCCTCTTCCTTTTGCGTACCTTTTCTTTCTCATATCTAAAAGAAGGTGGGTGGAAGGCAGGGATGGACCAGCTGTAGGGGAAGTCATCGGTGTGGTTAGAGGCAACACCTCAAAGGAAAAGACAACACAACCATAGTTACCGTTAGAGATGCACCAATCATCTTTTTTACACACACAGATGGTTTTGTTCTTAACCATGAGAATTATTGTTATTGCTGGTATTACATGCAAGGCTACAAAAAGCTGTTTTATTTCTTGCTCAAAGAATAAAAATGAAATTCGTAAAAAAAATGATTCCCTGAAATGTGGAAGCAGTAATGACTGAGGTTTACAAATGAAATATTTCAAACTGAAGTGTAAGAATTGTTGCTTTTGATCATATAGAAGGAGTTGTTCCATCTCGTCTGAACATCGTCATGGAGACGATTTGAGGACACTTCTTACAGTTCTGTATGAACGTCTGTCAAAGTGAGACTGTGCAAGCTGAGAATGTTTATAGTGCCCAACCATCTTTCTTGATGTGTGACACGGATCAGTCAGTGCCGTCAGTCTGACATCGTAAATTACTTCAATATCTGACCAGATACTGATATTAGACAGAACGGTCCCATCTATGGTTACTATGCAATTAAAGACATGTGAAGACTTCCATGAAGTAAACAAAAAGAACCATGCAGACTGGGTTCATCTCAAAAATGTGCTTTAGACCAGTGGATCTCAATTGGTGGGTCGGGACCCAAAAGTGGGTTTTGGAGTTGTTTTCAGTGGGGCGTGAAAGTGTGCCTGAAAAAAAAAACAAGTGTCCAAAAAAAGTCTAAAAAAAACTTTTAAAAAGATGTTTGTTTGTTTGTTTGTTTCAACTCTTTGTTCTGTCATATGTTTTGCACCGTCCGCAATTTGGGTCGCGATTTCTCATTAAGGAGTTGGTGGTGGGTCCAGAGGCTAGACCAGTTGAGAACCTCTGCTTTAGAAATATCATTAACTAACAAATAATTATTTTTAAGTTTAGCTTTTACAGTCATTTTTGGTGCAATGCATTTAGTAGAGTTACTGTATTACTGCTGTGCCTGCATGCACTGATTTAAAGAACTGTATAATAATCCATAAAGCTTGATCTGTATTCAACATGTATATCATCTTACCTGGATGAAATACCTTGCCCACAGACATGGTGTGGTAGCCCTTAGATTTAAAGTATTGTGGCATTGTTGTGTAGTTTCCAGCGTGAACTCTCCAGTAGGAGTTAAAGTCGTAGAGCCTGGTCGTGTCTGGTCTGCGACTCGTTAACATTGAGATACGGCTGGGAGCACACACGGCTTGCTGAGAGAAGAAAGAACAGATTCAAAGATTTTCAGGAGGTTTAACGATCCAATTCATCTCTCAAATGAATTGACTGCAATAGGCAACTATAAGAAAAACAGAACCACAAACTGACCTGTGCATATGCATTGAGGAAAACGTTGCTTTTGGATGCCAATTGGTCAATGTTGGGTGATTTTACTACAGTGTCTCCGTAGCAGCCCAACGATGTCCGCAAATCATCTGCCATGATGAAAAGGACATTTCTCCTCTCTGAAAGCAAAGAAAGCCATACTTGACTTTTAAACGGACATACAAAGCAATGAGTTAAGGCACAGTTGACAGAGCGCCGACACTGACTACTAAACTACATCTGGTTAAGGTGCATTAAGTCACCATGGTGCAGTTTTGTGGAACAAACTACATGCTGACCTGAGGTCTCTAGAAACTGTAAGTTCTTTTGAGAGCGGTCTTAAAACATTGCATTTCGCTTGCGCCTTTGGCTGCTAGTTTGTGTGTGTGTGTGTGTGTGTGTGTGTGTGTGTGTGTGTGTGTGTGTGTGTGTGTGTGTGTGTGTGTGTGTGTGTGTACATACGGTGCATGGTTGGTGTCTGGTCCCATGTGTGTTGTATGGATGGTGCAGGCTCCTTTTCTAAATGTGTTTTGGATTTAAAATGTGAATCTTTGAATCTATTTGTGAAATTTTCTTATGAGTTTGTATTGTGTTTGTTTATTTTTGTCTCCTGTAAAGCACATTGGGTTTACACACTGTGTGAAAATGAGCAGTAATAACACTATACTGAGAAATCATTCATTCAGTCTGTCAAACCCACACTTGACCTACAACATTTTAAATAAAACCTACAAATAATGCTAAAAGAATAACTGCAAAATTAATTTAATACCGCTGTAGATTTCACATGTGACATTTTCCCATAACCTGTTACCTATAAGATCATGATAAAGTTTAAACACTAACATTACCTCTTCTGGTTGAAACAGGGAGAGCCAGCGAGAGAAGAAACAGGACAGGAAGCCATATCCGGACACATGGTACATTTTGGTTGAGCGGAAAAGACTTGACTACTCAAGATCTTTCACATCAGGTTTACTTCAGAGTTAATCTTTCACCCATCCCTCCTTCTCCCCACCATCTGGTATCACAACAACAACAAAAGCGTGTGGTCTTCGTCTTAAACAACTTCCTCATTGTCGCGTCAGCACACTGGTTCACTCATTGGTTCACTTAGCCCTCGCCCCGCCCAGAAAAGCGTCAAAGCATTGGTCACTTCCTGTCGCCAGGATGACCCTCCCTCCATCCCTAATTGGTTGATACGTAATATTTACAGTCTATGGTTGATACCCTGCAGCCTGGCGGTGAATTAGAAAACAGTCAAAGCTGCTGTGATGCATTTTGTACTTTAAACAGCGAACTGCGGGGGAAATGATGGTTTAAGTGGACATTACCCAGCCAGTCTGTGTTGCCTGAGGTATTATAGTTATGTTAGGAAGGTAGGGAAGCAGACAAATAGGCAAGGTGCCCTACTGCCTGGCATCAGCCTGGCATCAGAATATCGAGATTTTTAAACGCAGTCTTAAAACTCATTTATTCAGTCTGGCTTTTATATAGTGTTTTATATCAATTCAAATATTAACATTACTGTATTGTAATGTTAATATTAACTTCTCAAACGTAAAATTAATCTCCCTGTTAAGGTGAAGTCAAAGGAGCCCCTGAAGTCCCCAAAAGTACAAAAATAATTATATTACGCTAACAAATATTATCTTGTCACACAAGATAATGACCTCTGTGCACAAAAAAATATTTTAGGGACTTGAAGAGCTCCTAGAAATTATTATAACCATTCAATGTATCCTATTTATTCAATTCAGACTGACTGCAAGCACTGATGAGCGGTCATTGTATTGTAGCCACTAGTGCAATTCAATGTTTCCTTCAGCATCAATTAATGCTATTTGTATAACGCCAATGTATAACAAATGTTATCTCAAGACACTTTACAAAAAGAGCAGGTAAATACCCTTTGTTATATAATCTACAAGACCCAACATTAATCCATCATGAGCACTAAAAGCAACATTTAGCACAGTTATAGCATAGACTGTAAAAAGTGGCAAGGAAAAAGTAACGACGTCTAAACCTCGAGCTGAACCATGAACTCATACAGTACAGGAGTGGAGATGAAAGTGAGGCATTGACCTATTTTCTCTATTGCTTTTTTTTTTTCAAAATGTGTTGAATAGAAGTACTCGGGGATCAGGACGTGAATCGAACTTGAGTTTAAATCATGTTACAATATGAACTCCCCGTAGGAAGAACCATTCATTTATTGCGCGCTCGAGTGTGGTGGTGAGGGGTTGTCTTGGAGATAGACGATCTTTGGTGAATACAGTTCACACAGCAGCACGAGCAGTGCAGCAAGAAACATGTCGGAGACCGCGGCTAAACGTGAAGCTAACTGGGTTGAATCTGAAAACTCATCCCGCAAAGTTAAGAGGGCGAAAGCCGACGAGGATAATGGCCATTTCAAAATAATGGTCTATCTATAGTGATATAATATGTGAAGTGTCTTTTCTTAGAAATCAGACAATGTTTTGCTCACAGTGAGACTGGCGTATGAATATGTGGGTTATCACCGCCTGTAGGCAGACATTAAACATGTCCTCAACAGTTTGCTGATAAAGAGGCTGTGGTTATCCTGGAGAAGACCCCCATCAGAGAGGACACCCTGGCGGACCTCTTCAGTGGTTCAGTGCTGAAGCTGGAGATGAAAAACGACATTTACAGCACATATCGATTACAGGCTCCCCATCATCTTAATGGTACGGTAAAAAAACAAAAAACAGATTGAAGATAATATGAATCCAGCAGCCACTTTGGTGAACTGAAGGCTAGTTATTTAACTTGTTTTATTTGTTTTTATTTACAGAGATAAAGACTACAGTAGTGTGTCCAGCTACAGAGAAGCATATCAAGAAATACCAGCGTCAGGAGAGTTTTCTTGTGGAGGAGACTGGGGAGGACTATGAGTCCATCACTCTGCCCTACATTCAGCAGCAGAGTTTCAGTCTGCAGGTCAGTCTCTTTTTTTCTTCTTGTTTCTATTTTGTGTTTTTTTAGCAGAGAACTTGAGCTAGATGGTAGACGTTTCTATGTAAAGAGACCATCAGAGGTAACTTACTAATCCCATTCACACACATTCATACGCTGTTGACGAAGCAGTAGGAATCAACTTGGGGTTAAGTGTCTTGCCCAAGGACACATCAGACATTTGGCTGCAGAAGCTGGGGATCGAACCCCTGAACTTCTGGTTTAAGGAGGACCGCCTCTACCAACTGAGCCACAGCCGCCCTCAAACATGTATTTGTGGTGTAAAAAAAAGTAAAGGTTTAGTAAATCAAAACCTTACTCGATTTCAAATTCTCACTAGGGAGCACTTTATCACCAATCCAACTGACTTTTACACTTAATCAGTACAAGAAATAACCACCAAAACACTTGTGTGTTCAATACCAGCCTCATACCACATCTTATTAGTTCAAAGTGTGCAGAGCTTATTGTCCTTACAATTTTACATTTAAAATGTTGAATATTTATTTATTTAAAGTATGACTTTTAGTTTCGAGTGGCAGAAGCTCAGTCTGTAGGGACTTGGTTTGGTAACCAGTGGGTCACTAGTATAAATCCCATTATGAACCTACTCTGGCAATTAGGCTGGTAACTGGAGAGGTGCCAGTTCACTTCCTGGGCACTTCCACTCAGCAAGGCCCCGAACCCCCAACGACTCAGTGCTCTTATCCGTGTGCAAGCCCTCACTCTGTCATCTCTCCATTAACGCGTGTTTGTTTGTGCATGTGTGTGCATTTATGCCTATGATTGTAAAGCATGTATCAACAACATTTAATGCCTTTTGTGCTTGTTTTACCCACAGTGGGTATACAACATCCTGGAAAAGAATGCAGAGGCTGACAGGATCGTTTTTGAAGATCCTGACCCAAAGGTTGGCTTTGTCCTCCTCCCAGATTTCAAATGGGACCAAAAACAGGTGAGAGTCGATAAATAATGACCACAAGAGAAACCACAGGAAGGGTTTTTGCAGATATCTGATATGACAGTGTTTTCAAACTCAGTTTGCCAGATTGCTGATGCCAATATATGATCATAATTTATATCTTTTATATAAAGGGACGTCTTTTATATAAAGGGACAAATATTGACTTCATTTACATACAAGTCGAACTGACCATACATGAAAGTCGCTGCAGTTTGTTTTTCAATATTGGGTAACATAACATGCCATGTGTATTATCTGTCTTCTTCTTGCAGGTGGATGATTTATACCTGATTGCAATAGCACACTGTAGAGGTATTAGGAGTCTCAGAGACCTGAAGTCCGAGCATCTACCACTGCTGCAGAACATCTTTGAGAAAGGAAAGGTGAGGTTACAAGAATATTCAGGAGAGCAGAAAATGTCATTTTCATTCATCTTCAATCATAATAGTGGAGGTGAAGGTGTCAAATACATCAAAGCAGGTTAACGGGTTAATGGCACACCACTATTCCCCTTGACTGTATACAACTGTGCACAGTAGCTTTGCAAACATGATGGCAATAAATAACTATGACTGGTTTGGCTTTTTATTGTTTTTTTGTATCTGTCTGAGAAAAGACGCGATCTGCATAAGATTAACTAATGCACAACTACTGCTAATTATGCCTTACTTTCAAATTCAGTAGTTGTTTTTCCATTATTAATAGAGTAAGGACAGAACATTACAGTAAACAAAGACAATGTGGACTTGCTGACAGTAATATCAATCACAGCAAAAAAATGACAATACCTGTTCATTGTTACTAAGGAGGCCATCATGCAGCGGTACAACCTTCCAGCCAGTAAGCTGAGAGTCTACCTGCACTACCAGCCATCCTACTACCACCTTCACGTTCACTTCACCAAGCTGGGCTACGAGGCACCGGGCTGCGGTGTAGAGCGGGCCCACCTTCTCGCAGACGTTATTCAAAACCTGCAGTCTGACTTCCAGTACTACAAAACTCGGACCCTGTACTTTCCCCTGAGGGCTGAAGACGGACTTCTCAGCAAGTTCAAGGAGTCGGGGAAGCTGTAGCATGCTGCACACAATTACTTGTTTAAATATTTTTGTAGTTTATGTAGTCTTGTGCTCCAGGTGATTTTATTATCATTCTCATATCAGTCCTTCATCCCTTATAGGTAAAAAAGAAAAAGAAAAAGTATAGCATTGGATATAAATATGTTTTTTATATCTTTTCTTAATGGTATAGCTGAATTTTCCTGTCTGAGTTAAACCTTATTGTTCTTCTACTCAACCTGTTGATGTGCTGTTATTATGCAAAATTATATTATTATAAATGAAAATGGATTTTCATCAAAACATTGTGATTGTCAGGTTTAGTGGTAGAATTGCATTTTTTATATTTCCAGTAATATAATGTGCAGAAGATGTGTTACTTGCTTTAAGTAACCAAGATTAAACACTAGATGGCAGCATTTCTAATACCATACTGATTTAATTATTGTTTTTCCATTACTGCCTAAATGCAAAATCAAAACAGACTCAAAAACATTGTCTCAGACATCTTTATTTGAGTAGGGTCAATTCATGACAAATGTTATCTCGCAATACTTTAAAAAGTATAGCACTGGATATAAATATGTTTTTTATATCTTTTCTTAATGGTATAGCTGAATTTTCCTGTCTGAATTAAACCTTATTGTTCTTCTACTCAACCTGTTGATGTGCCGTTATTATGCAAAATTATATTATTATAAATGAAAATAGATACCCCTACCCGAGGTAGAACAAATCACAACCATATGTTTTCACAACTGTAACATGTTTAGTTTATGAAATGGATGGTTGTATAATTTTATTTTACTGCAAAATAACTTTTTGGGATCTTACCAAAAAAAACAAAAATAAACCGCAAGGTGCCAGAAATGGCTATCCAAAACAAAGATAAACAAAATGATTTATAATTTCATTTTTCAGAGCAGATGCCTTACTGCTTTCCCGCTTACAGCCTGTACCTATGGGAAGATGAATTTAGTAAATTAATAGCATGGAAACAATTCTTCACAACAAAATATAAAACAACAATTGACTCATAGCGCAGTCTTGGCTGTGAGGGCTGTTTCGTCATGAGCCTGGGATCCGGCTGAAGATTTCTGCCTAAGGACATAAGGCCATAAGGACGTTTTTTCTTACCACTGTAACTTTTGCTGCTTTGTTAAAGTGCTCATGATTGTTTGACAGATGTGAGAAACTGCCTGACTTCCTTGTATGATACACAGTGGCCCAGAGCATTTAGCTCGTTGATAATTGCCTTGCTCCCAAATTCATGATGTATCATAATGGCAAGCCCTAGTGTTATGTTGGTGTGCAGCTTGCATCTTGCATCTTGCAGCATTGTGCCATGATGTCATGGCAGACTGCTTTTACGGAGGTTTTCCTTCAACGAAGGTTCCTCACATCTTTGGACGGTTTAATGTGCATTTTTATCCACACACCAGTTCACAAAGTCATAGAGTTTGTTGGGTACATAATCCTGACAAGAACAAGAGGACAGATGTCCACTACTCGCATAGAAGCAGGAGTCTTGCTTTACCTCTTCCATGGTGTTCCTCAATACACCTGCTGCAAGGTGTAATATTAAGTGTCAGACATTGTTGGGTCGCATTCTAAATGCACATTATCACTTTCTTTTTTGTCCTTTTCATTGAGTAGAGCAGCTTCCCTCATCACAAGGCCAATAGGTAAACTGGTTGAGGACTCCAAATCTGATTTACCCTACCGTTTACAAGCACAAGTTGTCTTTGTAGTGATTGAGCAGCTTCTATTTTATGACATGAGTTGAGTGCATTTTCAGATTGCTCTTCAACTCTTTCTACAAGGGCACTCGATGAGTTTACAGCTATATCATGGGAAGCATCAAAAGCATGTAGATCTTGATATGCCAGCATCCGCAGCAGAATTTTCGGTTTCAAAAATTTCGGCCTCAAAAAAAATGTTGACCGTGGACCTGTCAAAAAGTTTTCATTAAAAAAATGTTGACTGAGGGCCTATTAAAAAATGTCATAAAAAAATGTTGACCACGGACATGTTTAAAATTTTCATGAATAAAACATTGACCGCAGACCTGTGGAAAGTTTTCATGAACAAAATGTTGACCGCAGAAATAACAAACATTTTCATGAAAAAATGTTGGCTGTGGACCCGTCTAAAATGTCTATGCAAAAAATGTTGTTCTCGCATCAGCCTTGGATTCAATTTTGACCTCAGCCCTTTCCTGCATGTCATCCCCACTCTCTCCTCCCAACATTTCCTGTGTCTTTTAAGCTCTACTACCTACTAAAAGTAAAAAGGATGTGTTAAGCCCGTGTACACACTCTACACCAATGACTGCACCAGCCCGTCACCCAACACCACAAACCGAGCTATGCTCATTGACAAAAACTTTGTCCTGGACTATCACAACACTAATGTAAACGTCACTCAGCGGTGTGAGGATAACCATCTCCATCTCAGTGCCCCTATGAAAAAGAAATTAATAATTGGTCCCCCCTCTCCCTCTCCCTCAGAACCCCCTTCTCATCAATACCCAAACAGTGGAAATAGTTGACAGTTTCAAATACTTTGGAGTGACACTAGACAATCAACTCAGTTTTGACCAGCACATCAGTGACATCCTAAAAAATAGCCATCAAAGACTGTCAGCCATCCGAAAACTGAAAGGACTTTATTGCCCCCCCAATCTCCTCCTGCTGCTATATCAAAGCATTATCCAGCCCATCCTAATGTACTGTTCCACCTGATTCTCCAACATGTTATCTGTTAAAAACACGGCCAAACTCATATACACAACAGCAGCCAGATTAATTTGTCTCCCCACACCCAACCTGGCAGAACTCAACAACAGGGCCATCACAGGCATTGCAACCTCAATAGAAGAGGACATCATACTTCCACTGAGTATCCACCTCACCCCACTTCCCTTAAGACGGAGGTCCAGAACACTGAGGTGAAGAAAGGCTAGCCTGACTGACTCACTGTTGGACAGAAACTGGGCTATGAAAAGGAATTTTCCCAAGGGGACAAAAAAGTCTAATGTAATTTTGTTGCTATAGTTGACACTTTAAAATGGGTGGTGTTTGTTTGATTAACTGACTTAAATAATAATAAGTTAAAAAATATATATATATCTTTACAAAGTGTCTTGCCAATGTCTTTCCATGTGTTGTCTGGTTGGTTATAATAAATCCTCTTAGGGTATGGAACTGCAGCTTTTAAATATCTCATTGTCACTCATAGTGGCTTCCCATTTCTGAGTGGTTAGAGTGGTGTGTTAGTTTTCTAAATTGAAAGACAGGCATAGATATGTAGTCATTGATGTCACTTATAAAAAGACAACTATTGAAATGTTTGTTTTAATTTTTATTCTATTTCCCCCCTCTTCCCTCCAAGTTTCTGTGACCCCCTATAGAACCCCCTGGCTATGCTCCGAGGTTCAGGAGGACCTTCACTTTGAAAAACACTGTAGGTTGAACAGCTTTGACATACTTGGTATAATATACAATGTGGCCATTTCATACGAAACATGTGTGGTCTAGGTTGGCCCTTTTGAGCAGTTCATTCCTTGTGCTCTTAAAGACGTTTATAACCAGTTGAAAGAGGAATCAAAGGTTTGAAAGAAAGCCTCAATAGAGCTAGGGGTTTCCTTCATGGACAGAAAGGATATCTTACAATAACAATATGTTATCTGCAATAGTTTGCTTGTGTGCACTTCTGAGATCATACCTTTATTTACTTCTAGCTAGTACATTTTTTTTCTCAGTCCAGTATTTACTTTTAAATCAGGTAGATTCTGACATCTATAGACCAGGACCTTTCATTTTCAGAAGATAAAAGTATGACGCTCACCTCTTTTAACTTAATGCCCTTGGTGGGCTATTGGAATTAAAGACCATTGATAATTACTGTATTGGACAAGCCATTTGGAGTTTATGGTGCAGCTTGCCCGCTACCATTAACCGTTTGATTTGGACAGATGTAAAGCATTTGTAATATGAACTTACTGTTTTTTTTTCAATAAATATGTAGATTGTAACAAATAACGTGTAAAATGTCTAAATATAATCACATATTTCATTATTTATTATGGAATTTAAGATACTTTCAGAACACTAGGAAAATCCTTTATTGAGGCAAGACATTTCAAGCTCTGAGTAATCTGATTATTAAAAGTAATCTGAGCTTCTTAACTGCAAAGGTCTGAAGTAAACAATCAGAATCAGAATCGGGGTTTTATTGCTAAATTCATTTACACATACAAGGAATTTGTCTCGGTGTATTGGTGCAAACACAGTTAACAAAGGAAATAAAGCAAAAATAGCAAGAACTTTAATAATGAAATATAAGAAGCAATTACAAATATATATAATATACAATTAAAAAATGTGCAAATATAAGAAACAAAATGTGCAAATAAATAAAATATACAATTTAAAAATGTAAAAGTATAAGAAACAAAAAGTACAAAATGTGCAATGAAGGAGCTGTGCAGTTGACAATGAAACAAAGTGTGACAGTCAATAATTTATTAGCAGCACTTTGGAAAGTTTACGTTCATTTGGTTCCAAAAAGAAGAAGAATTTATTGTGCCTTTTGGTAGTGTAAGAGTTTAACTTTTTTGGATCCAGCCTACAACATAGGCCATAAGATTCTAGCTAGATGGTTTGATGGTTTGCATTTTTTGTAGACATGAGGGTGAAAACTGAAGAACAAATACTAAATGTAGGCCTTGATGAACACAAATTGTTTATTCATTCTGTTTTTAATGCTACTCTAATGACCAAGCTTTATGTTCAGCATTTTGTTCTGACTATAGGCTAATTGAATGTAATAAAACAGCCTCAACACTAGGTGGCAGCATTAAGTCTCATAATATTCTCCCTTTAAACTATCTCCAGCAGGAACCAAATAACTTTTATTTCTTAACACCCGTCAGTAAACTTGAACTTCTGTTCGGCTTCCTTTACGAGAAGAAAGCCAAACAGTGTGTTTAAGTTCAGAAGATCATGTAACCGAGGCTTCGACTAACCTTGGAAAGTCAGCTGTTTTCAGCCTGAGTCAGTTTAGATACATCAGGAACAGAGGAATGCCAACTATGTTAGTTTGATTGTGACCCACAAGGCCAGAGTCCGCATTTAAACCCTGAAACTCCCTCTCTGCAGTAAAGTTAAAGAATCATTGTTTTAAGAGTGTATGTTTCCAGATGCCTTTGGGTTAATGTCCTTGTTAAGTTTAAACTAAACTGCAGGACTACATTGTAGGAGGATAAAATGTTAAGCTGTTCCATAATATTCATAAAAGCAGCTCACCAAGTCAAGGACCCTTGGTATTTTGTTTAATCTTAACAAAACAACAGGTTCATATTCATACTCAATAATGTTAGAGAGGTTAGCGAAGAGTTGGATGAATATATGATTGTCAGAAGATCATTTTGACATCAAGAACTCAAAGTTCAAACATTTCAATCAATCAAAAGCTAATGTTATCAACTTAATTAACCAGGCTGATGGAGTATTCCTCAGTTTATTATTCTTAGAGACAATATTCACAATGTTTCACGGAAGTATTGGACAACTATCACATAATAAGGGTGTGTTTTTTTTCTTTCTGTTATCTCAAACTTATAGTATACATAATTTGTTTCCTTGTCTAAAGATAGCTGTGGAAATGTTAAATGACCTTACGTTTATACAAAGTACCCTAATCTCAATGTGGTTCATCTTTCATAAGTTAAAATTCCAGAAATAAAGATCATAGCTCATCTGCTTAATGACGTTTCATAAGTTAAATGTCTGAACTGAAGAGGAAATTGAATCAGAAATACTCTTGGTGTTGTGGGTAATCCGTGCCATCAGAAATTGAGGCAATTCCGAGTCGCCTCTGAACGCAGCACCACAGAGCAGCGGACTCCCTGGCAAGACTGCGAAGAATAATCCAATAATAAATCCACTGACAACACCGATGTCTTGGCTGCAGGCTCTTAGGGATGAGTTCACCCTGAGACCGTTTGAGATTGAGCAGACACAGTAAGTTTTCCTCCCGTGTTCATGTTGCGCTTTAAACTTCAGCTCTTTGACAACATCTACTTTTGTGTTAATTGTGATGTTTGACAGGGGATCGATACGTGATCTACTCTTTGTCCTGCAATGCTTTTGGCTTTGTGTATTTTCTGTTTGAATCAGGGATTTATGGGGCGATGTAGGGAAGGTTTCTGAGCCTGTTTAAAGGGACAAACGATTTAACTCTGGATTCAGGGACTTTCCAATATGTAGACCTGAGACCAAGTCTACATATGTAAAAGGTCCAAGTGTAAAACATTGAACTATAAAATGATCCATGCCTTTTACCATCACAAACTCAAGTCGACATAAATCAAGTTTTAAGAAGTTAGAACTCGAGATTTATTGTCTTTTAATGATATATGAGGTATTAGTTGTAAATCTGTGTTTGTTGTAAACTGGTTTTAAGAAATTTATTCATGAAAAAGCACCTGATTATAATCCTGAACTGCCTTGAATTTAGTGTTAAGTGATTTATTTAGGATATATTTGCACACTAGTTACTGTTTGCATGTTTAGTAGTTGAAATCTAAATTCTTAGGCCCCCTCCAACATTTCCCTAACAATGAGTATATCAGACTTATGATTTAGTGTGTTATTAATTTCATACATAAAATGTTTTTTATTGTACACATGGAAATGCATTTTAAAATATTCAAGATAAATATTCTTTACACATAAAATATGACTTGCTGTTGCTATAATATGTGTAAAGTCTGCAGGCTACCAGCCCTCATGCAATCTGTCGCTCTTTTTTAAATTATAACCTTTTCAATCTGAAGATATATTCACCATTCCTCTTCATCCTTTCAAACTATAGGATCATGCACACACAGTGTCAAAGTGTCAGAGGCACAGGGTGTTTTTTTTTTTTTTTAAAGCAGCTGCAGTCAATTGTGTCACAACCACCAAACAATGCCATCATTATTCCTTACAATACAGTGTAACATCACATTTGACAACGGTTTAGATAGCTCGCTTTAGCAGCATATTGTTAGCCAGCGAGCCCATAATTACATTACATGGATTTCGCTGACTCAGCAGATCAGGAAAGTAAGTTCCAAGGTTCCTTAAAAAAACACAATAGTAACACACTGGCGTCCAGCTGCTGCCAGTGTCCAGGTTATGTTGTAATGCAGGTGTATGATGATGTGTAAACGTGTGACTCAGGGTATTTCACAATGGTCATGACAAAAGTGTTGTAGTCCACACACACACCGAGACCAAGACATACCCGAGACCAGAGTGCTCCAAGACCAAGACCAGACCTAACACTTAACCCCAAGTTGCTCCTGCTGCTTCGTCAGTGGAGTATAATTGTGTATGAACGGGATTAATGACTTCTGATTTTTTCACTTTAGCAGCTTCTACCATCAAGCGCTATGCAAGTTGATTTACTAGATCACATTTGTCAGTCTCTTTCTCTATTTCAAAGCTCCTTGCTGTTGAACATGAGCGCAGATGGCAGGAGGTAGGAAGTGGCGCTGGCACTAAGGGAACGAGAATGTTTTGCGAGAGAGATTTTTTGCTTTGGATTTAACATGGACTCAGAAAGTTGCATTATTATTCCGTTTAAATTCATCTACTTGTGTGCCTGCTCTTGCTTCAATAAGCACAATAAGAAACACACACTAGTTTCTCCTACTTTCTGTTTTAACCGCCCCTGTTACGCCTAGCCGTCAATGTAATGTTAAGGAGCGGTAATGGTGGGGTGTAGTCGTTGTGCTGTTAGCAGACATAGGGGGTAGAAACGGAGGCGTAACTGAGATGAAACCACATCCCTGTAACACAGTGTGTGTGTTTGTGTGTGTGCTTGTGTGTGTGTTTTTGTTTGTGTTGTGGCATGTGTGTGTGTGTGTGTGCTTGTGCTGTTTCTTAACAAGTTGTGCCTCACCTTTCTGCAGCGCTGTAACGCTTGTAAATCAAATGCTGGAACATCAATATTACAACACATTGCTGGTTCAATGTAAAAGTACATAGGCAGGGTGACGGCAGAGCTTTGTTACGGGGGCTGCGACAGAATTTCAATGTAAAAAAAGGCTCGAGTAAGCGAGCCGAGTTCAAGATAGGTTCGTTTTATCAGCCGATCAACCTTAGCTGTGACCTAAGAAGGCAAAATGAGAAGAGATCCCAGCGTTTGGAAGACTATGTTGTGTGTAAACTCTCTCACACACACACACACATGACCCAGTGCAGCAGGCTTAGGGCAGAAGTATGATTACAAGGCTATTTACATTACAACAAAAAGGGACTGGAAAAAAGGGCCGAGAGAATGCACAAAGGGACAGAGAGCGAGAGAGAGAGAGAGAGAGAGAGAGAGCGAGGGAAGATGGTTTCCAGATGTGAGCTGGAATTCAGAGTACCACAGAGCACCTCCTCCCACTTTCTGTGCTGTGTGAGATCGGGTTCAGCTCATGCATGTTGTACTTTAGAGTATGGGAGACAGGGAGAGGCTACAAAAAGACGAGGAAAAGGGCACCGCAGGGGTGAGCGAGAGGAGATCGACATCTGAATCCAGATAGCTGTCTTTACCTCGGCTGTCTTTAAGTGGACTGAACTGTATGTGTTCATTATGTTTCAGTAGATGAAGACTTCTGAATTCAGAAAAAAGGCTGACTCAGTGCAAGGCAAGGCGAGGTATTGACTTTGACTGGATGTAATATAGGCCTTCCTATTTTTATTTATTGAATTTGTATTTTACCCGTATTTTAACTGGAAGTCCCATTGAGATCTCTTTTGAAAGACAGACCTTGCCAGTGAAGCAGCCAAACAATCATTGACACGTGAGAAGACAGCATAACACAGCGTAGAAAAATCACAACAACCACCAAAAACACATAAACAACCACATTGAGAAATCTGAAACATTTAAAAAATGTGTATTCAAATACACAAGTGACCCCATGCCTTTGTCCCCACCTCCTTAAAGACACTGGTGGCTCAGTGGTTAGTGCGCGCGCCTATGTATGGAGGCTATTGTCCTCTAAGCGGGCGGCCCAGGTTCAAATCCGGCCTATGGCTCCTTTCCTGCATGTCATTCCCTACTCTCTCTCTCCCTGATCTATCCACTGTCCTATCTCTCCATTAAAGGCACAAAAAGCCCAAAAAGAAATCTAAAAAAAAGAAAAAGAAAGAGTGTCTAACTGTAGCTCTAACTATGTGATTGTTCAGTACACACTTTTATTGTCAAACATTAACATGTCTTCCAGTTATCACTGTCTCTCTGACTTTTCCCATGACTTCCTCGCTCTCCCAGCCCCTTTCTCGTTTGTTATCATGTAGTCCAGACACAGGGCAGTTTCAGGAAATACCAACATCCACTTTTTTTTCTAAGAAGAGAAACTGACCAACATTCCTCTGAGGTCTATCAACAGAGAGCTGAACACATGCACACACACACACACACACACACACACACACACACACACACACACACACACACACACACACACACACACACACACACACACACACACACACACAATCGATCCCTCTCAATCTCTCTGTTAGCTATATTGACATCATCAGTCACATGGTATGAGAAGTAGGATAGGAATGTTATTTCAGTGCGACCAAGTAATTATTGATCAGGATCAGTAATTTAAAAAAAAATGTATAAAGAAAAATTCAACCTTAACAGTGTTTCCAGCGGCTGTGGCTCAGTTGGTAGAGTCGGTCGGTTTCTCAACCGGGAGGTCAGAGGTTTCAATCCCCAGCTCCTGTAGCAACATGTCCGAGGTGTCCTTATGCAAGACACTTAACCCCAAGTTGCTCCCGCTGCTTCGTCGTAGTGGTGTTGAACTCAAAATCTAAGTAATGGAGGTATAACTTGTAGGGATCGTGTATTAGTGGAATGAGCAACACAGCTAAACGTGTAGGTAGTGCCCAAAAGAAATGTGCCAAAACCCACTACCCACACGTTTAGCTGTGTTGCTCATTCCTCTAATACAACAATATACCAACAATATATAATACAACACCGAGTAGTATTGTTAAAACGGCAAAATAATTGACCGAAATAACTTTTCCGACTTTTGAGGAGTTTATTATAGAACCACTGATTAGATAGGTTGTCTGTATCTGTCATTTAAATTATATTGAAAGACGGAAAGGCCTCCTAATCTTAGAACAGACAGAGTTGATCTCCTATAATGACATATTCTTGTTTTTAGAGGCTTCTAATTAAAAACAAGAACACTAGTAACTCCTAGTTATTTTGAGGGTATGACAGATCTATAGTGAATGCTTTACAAAATTCTGTTTCGTTTGCTCTTTCCCTGTAATCACCAGTCTGTGCTGTATTGCTCGATCATACCTGTGTGTCACTTCCTTCCCCGTAGCCTGGAAGCCAAACGTCAACTTAGTGTAATTGGATTGACCCAGATTTGGAGGAGAAGCACCAAACTTGATGTGTTTTACATTTCTATGATTTGTTTTTTTAAGCTTTCCAGAAAGACCTTGTGTTCGCAATCGCATTATAACTTTCTCTCTCATCTTTGTTATGTAGTTAACACCAATGATCCTTCCCTCTCTGAAATGAAGCCACTCTATGTCAGTTTAAGTGACTGATTTATTCAATTTCCAAGGTGTCTGACATCCTTCCTGCACTGAAGGAAGAGAGAGAGATTCAGGAAGCAAATTTGAACAAACCTGGTTTCTGAAATTAGCCACAGTTGAGGAAACACACTTTGAAGGGTCTGATGGTCACTGTGACTCGTGGTTTTTACTTACAGAGGCTTTTTTTCTTGCAGTTGCCTCAGCACTGAGATGATACTTATTTGTGTACTGGGATAGTATATTAGATGGCAGAGCAAAAATTTTTAGAAGTAAATCTATGAGCCTTAACTTGAAATCTGACTCGTCATTTGATAAACACATTTAATTTTCTCTACTGAACAATTAAAACAAGTCAAATCGCAATGTTCTGAACAGCAACAATCCATCATTTCAGTCTGGTTTAGTATTGA